GAGACAGTGGTCCATTTCATATAAATTGTCAAACTTTTGTGTGTTCATAGTTTATTAGCCTTTTGATCTCTGCAAGGTCTGTAGTAATATTCCTTTTTCATTCCTGATACTGATAATTTGTGTCTTCCTTTTTCTTTGTCAGTCTTGCTAGAGGTCTTTCAATTTTATTGGTTATTTTGGTGAACCAGCAATTTATTTCATTGAATTTTCTCTTTGTTTCTCTGTTTCTAATTTAATTGTTATCTACTATTTATTGTTTCCTGTTTCTCTTCTTGTTTTTTTCAGACAGAGTCTCACTCTGTTGCCCAGGCTGAAGTGCAGTGACATGATGTTGGCTCACTGCAACCTTTGCCTCCTGGGTTCAAATGATTCTCTTGCCTCAGCCTCCCAAATAGCTGGTACTATTGGTGTGTACCACCATGCTCAGCTCATTTTTGTATTTTCACTCGAGATGGGATTTCATCATGTTGGTCAGGGTGGTCTCAAACTCCTGATCTCAGGTGATCCAGCCACCTCGGCCATAGTGATGGGATTACGGGTGTGAGCCACTGTGCTCAGCCTGCTCTTTTTTTTTAAAAAGACGGAGTCTTGCTCTGGTCGCCTAGACTGGAGTGCAATGGCTTGATTTTGGCTCATTGCAACCTCTGCCTCCTGGGTTCAAGCGATTCTCCTGCGTCAATCTCCTGAATAGCTGGGATTATAGACATGCACCACCACGCCTGGCTAATTTTCATATTAGTAGTAGAGACAGGGTTTCACTATATTGGCCAGGCTGGTCTCGAACTCCTGACCTCAGGTGATCTACCTGCCTCAGCCTCCCAAAGTGCTGGGATTACAGGCGTGAGCTACTGCACCCAGCTAATTTTTGTATTTACTGAGACAGGGTTTGGCCATGTTGCCCAGGCTGGTCTTGAACTCCTGAGTTCAGAGTGGTCTGTTCACAGCAGCCTCCCAAGGCGCTGGGATTACGGGTGCCTGCTACCACACCCAGCTGATTTTTGTGCTTTTAGTAGAGACAGAGTTTCACCATGTTGGCCAGCCTGGTCTCAAACTCCTGACCTCAGGTGATCTACCTTACTTGGCTTCCCAAAGTGCTGGGATTACACGTGTGAGCCACCACCCTGGCCTGATTTCTAGTTTGATTCCATAGTGGTTGGAAAACATACCTGTGTGATTTCATTTCTTTTAAATTTGTTGTGGTTTGTTTTTAGCCTAGATCTATCTTGGTATGTGTTCTGTTAATACTTGAAAAGAATGTATATTCTGCTGTTGTTGGGTGGACTGTTCTGTAAGTTGATTAGAATCTTAATTATTGGTGTTGTTGAGTTGTATTTCTTTTTTTTTTTTTTTTTTGAGACGGAGTTTCACTCTTGTTACCCAGGCTGGAGTGCAATGGCGCGATCTCGGCTCACCGCAACCTCCGCCTCCTGGGTTCAGGCAATTCTCCTGCCTCAGCCTCCTGAGTAGCTGGGATTACAGGCACGCGCCGCCATGCCCAGCTAATGTTTTGTATTTTTAGTAGAGACAGGGTTTCACCATGTTGACCAGGTTGGTCTCGATCTCTCGACCTTGTGATCCACCTGCCTCGGCCTCCCAAAGTGCTGGGATTACAGGCTTGAGCCACCGCGCCCGGCCGTTGAGTTGTATTTCTTTGCTGATTTTCTGTATAGTTATTCTGTTCATTGTTGATAGAGTGGTGTTGAAGTCTTCAACTGTAATTGTGAATTTGTCTATTTCTCCTTTCAGTTTTAGCTTCACTTATTTTGTAGCGCTGTTTAGTGCATATACATTTAGGGTTGCTGTATCTTTTTAATTTTTATTTATTTATTTGAGACAGAGTTTTCGTTCTTGTTGCCCAGGCTGGAGTGCAATGGTACAATCTCGGCTCACCGCCTTCCAGGTTCAAGTAATTCTCCTGTGTCAGCCTTCCCAAGAGCTGGGATTACAGGTATGCACCACCATGCCTGGCTAATTTTGTATTTTTTTTTTTTTTTTTTTTTTTTTCAGACGTAGTTTCGCTCTTGTTACCCAGGCTGGAGTTCAATGGCGCGATCTAAGCTCACCGCAACCTCTGCCTCCTGGGTTCAGGCAATTCTGCCTCAGCCTCCCGAGTAGCTGGGATTACAGGCACGTGCCACCATGCCCAGCTAATTTTTTGTATTTTGAGTAGAGACGGGGTTTCACCATGTTGACTAGGATGGTCTCGATCTCTTGACCTCGTGATCCACCCGCCTCGGCCTCGCAAAGTGCTGGGATTACAGGCTTGAGCCACTGCGCCCGGCCTTAATTTTGTATTTTTAGTAGAGTCAGGGTTTCTCCATGTTGGTCAGGCTGGTTTTGAACTCCTGACCTCAGGTGATATGTCCCCCCGACCCAAACTCCCTAAGTGGTGGTGTTACAGGTGTGAACCACTGTGCCTGGCATTTTTTTTTTTTTTTTTTGAGATGGAGCCTTGCTCTGTTGCCCAGGTTGGAGTGCAGTGGCCCGATCTTGGCTCACTACAACCTCCAACTCCTGGGTTGCAGTCTCCTGCCTCGGTCTCCCAAGTAGTTTATATTATAGGCACTCACCACCATGCCTGGCTAATTTTTGTATATTTAGTAGAGATGGGGTTTCACCATGTTAACCAGGCTGGTCTTGAATGCCTGACTTCAGGAGATCCACCTGCCTTGGCCTGCCAAAGTCCTGGGATTGCAGGCGTGAGCCACCACACCCGGCCAATTTTTAGTAGAGACAAGAGTTTTGCCATTTTGACCAGTTTGGCCTTAGACTCCTGGACTCAAGTGATCCTCCTGCACAATGTCCAACTTGCTGGGATTATGGGTGCAAGCCACTGAACCTGACCAAGGTTGCTATATTTTTTTTGAGACAGAATTTTGCTCTTGTTGCCCAGGCTGGAGTGTAGTGTTGCGATCTCGGCTCACTGCAACCTCTGCCTCCCAGGTTCAAGTGATTCTCCTGTCTCAGCCTCCTGAATAGCTGGGATTACAGGCACATGCCACCACGCCTGGCTAATTTTTTGTATTATTAGCAGAGACTGGGTTTCACCATGTTGGCCAGGCTGGTCTCTAACTCCTGACTTCAGGTGGTCTACCCAACTCAACCTCCCAAAATGCTGGGATTACAGGTGTGAGCCACTGCACCCAGCCTGGTGTATCTTTTTGATGGCTTGATCTTTTATCATTACATAGTGCCCTTCTCTGTCTCTGAAAATTTTCTTTGCTCTGTATTCTACTTACGTCTGATATTAATATATAAATGTACGTTTGTTTAATTGTAATTAATTTAAATTTAAATAGGAACATGTTGCTGGTGGCTGCCATATTGACAGTGCAGTTCTGGAAGGTGGAGAGAGCTATGATACAAATTTAATTGAAAGGTAAATTTTATAATATAATAGAAGATGACAAGGGCAATGGTTAGCAGCAAAGGGGAAATTGGGGCAGAGGGAGCAGGGTATATGATCTTCATTTGGATAATCAAGAGAGAAACCATTGAATGTGACACTTGAACAAAAATTTGAAGGAGTATAGGGAGTTAGCTGTTTAGATATCTTGAGGAAGAGTGTATCAAGGGCTAGCAGGAAGATAGGCCATTGTAAGAACTTTAGCTTTTTCTGTTGAGTGATGTTGAGAACTTATAGGAGTTTAGAGCAGAACTTTTTACATTGTATAAAGCTCAGTCAGGCTGGTATATTGAAAACAGACAATATGGGGATAAGTTGCAAGCAGGGAGAACAGTTAGGAGGTTGGAATATGAGTGAAAGATGACAGTTGTCAGACCCAATGATTAGAGCAGATTTTGGGAAAAATATTAAGACATTTAGTTTTGGATATGTTAAGTTTGAAATGTTTATTAGATACATTCAAGCAGAGAAAACAAGTAGACTGTCTGTAATTGTATTCCAGATATGAGTCCCTGCCCTTGTGGAGCTTACACTTTATTGGAATATGGGTGGTAAATACAATACATATATAAAACATATGCTATGTAAGAAGACAGTAAGTCCTATGGAGAAAATTCCAGTAGGAAAGTGGGATAAATGTTGTTGGAACACTGAGGTCCTGAGACGGTGACATTTGAATAATGGTAAGAAGGTGATACGGAGATACTTGGAGAAAAGTGGCTCAGTAGAGGGAACCAAGGTATAAAGGTTCCTAGGGGAGAGCATTGCTGGTGTGTTTGAAGAAGATTGAGGAGGCTTAGTGTGGCTAAGGGAAAGAGGATGGTACAGAGGTAGCAAGTGTTCAGGTTATGGGCCATTTTAAGGGCTCTGGCTTTTACCTTGAATTAGGGAGCTAGCAGATAGTTTAGTGGAAGAGAGGCATGATTCAACCTGTGGTTTAATTGAGTCACTCTGGCTTTGGTGCTAGACTGAAGGGGGTAAGGGCGGAAGCTGAGAGAGAGGAGACTTATGGTAATTCAGGCAGGAGGCTGTGGTAGCTAAGTCTAGAGTAGTAGCAATGGAGGCAGTGAGGAATAATAGTATTCTGGATACGTTTTGGGAGTCACACTGACAAAATTGGCTCACCAGTTGGATGTGGGATGAGAGGAGTCAAGGATTATTCCAAGATTTTGGCCTGAGTCATTGGAAGGATACAGTTGTGCTGAGATGGGAAAGACTGGGCAAAGCAGGTTTGAAGGGGGCGATGAGGAGCTGTTTTGGACATGTTAAATTTATGATGCCTGTTGGACATCTGAGTATAGGTGTTCAGTATGAGTTCTAGTTTTATTTATGAAGACTGTTTCATGTTTTTAAAAATGAAGTAATGGTATTGAAACAGTGTATTCACTTCTGAAATATATATTGTTAACATCTTTATTTTTAACATGTTCAATCCTGGCAAAACCTGAATATTTTGGAGAGAGAGAAATTGACTACTTTTTAGCTCTGCTGTTAGAGTTGGTGGTACTTTCTTAGAGTTAAATAAAGATGTCATTCCACTTTTAGAAATGGAAATATATATAGTCTGAGTGTTTTTAATTGCTTTCTATTTTAGGTCTTTTTACTGCTGGATTGTGCAAGATATTTAACCCTGTTTTGTTTGAATTATGACTTAAATATCAAACATCTTAACTAAGAAAAGGGAAACATTTTAGTTTTGGAAGTCAGAATGCCAAGGAGAAGGAAAAATCTTGGGGGAAATCCTTTTCGGAAGACTGCAAACCCTAAGGAAGTTGTCGTATCCAGTGTTGCTAGTCGTGAGGAGCCAACCACTACTCTTCCTTCCATGGGTGAGACAAAAGTTGATCAGGAAGAACTCTTCACCAGTATCTCAGAGATATTTTCTGATCTGGATCCTGATGTAGTGTATTTGATGCTTTCTGAATGTGATTTCAAAGGTGAGAAAAAGTTTAGTTTGAACCCTTTCCATCTTATAAGAAGACTTTGTGTACTATGCCATGATTAATAGTAATACAGAAAAATGTCTTATTTCTATTTTGTTCATCATCTGCTGTTGGCAAGTTACTAAGGTTGGTATTTGAGTTTGGTATTTGAGATATGAAGAATAAAACATAGTTTCTGCTCTTAAGAAATGTCCAGTTCTGATGTAAGGTATTTTTATAGATAGCATATACTATCTCTTTCATCTTTACTCTGGAAAAGACTGGCACTACTGACACTTTAGACTGCATAATCCTTTGTTTTCAGTGGCTCTCCTGTGCATTGTAAGGTGTCTAGAAGCATCCCTGGCCTGTACCCACTAGATGCCAATAGCTTCTTACCACCCAGTTGTGACAATAAAAAATGTCTCCATATATTGTCATTTGTTCCCTGGGAGGCAAAATTGTACCTGGTTGAGAACCACTGTCCTAGAATGTAAGCTCCATAAAGACAGAGTTTTTAAAAACTTTGTTTTACTCCTGTATCCTCAGCCCATAAAACAGCAACTGATCCATAATGGGAGCTGAGTAAATATTTATTAAGCGATTAGGTAATTGTAATCATGGAAATAAGAGCTGATTTAAGAGTTGAGGCTAGCAGAGTAGTGTAATTTCAAAATAATCGGCTTTGGAGTCAAGAAACGTGGGTTGGATTTTCAGCTCTGCCTCTTAAACTCTCTTAGTCTCAGTTTTCCTCTGTTAGTGAAAGAAATAACAGTATGCACCTCATAGGACTTTTTTTTGGTGAGAATTTGTTTTATTTTTTTGTTCTTGGTAAAGTCTTCAGTATGGTAGGCTATTAATAACTTGTCATACATTGTTTAGAAGTATGTTTATAGACAGAAGGGAATTTATATAAGTTGACTAGATGAGTAAATTAAACGTTGATGCCTAGTATTGTTACTGGCCATGATTAGTATAAGATAAAATTATTCTGGATTTGGGAAGTTTTGTTAATGTGTTATAAATGTCCAGTTTCAGTGATTGTGTGGTTTGTGATGTGAGCATATCTTATCCAGTTATGTATGCAGAAAACCAGTTGTCAGCAGTGCATGATGCTCAGGAATGATAGTATATAGAGTTTTGTAAGTTACTTCAATATTTCCTAATTCTGATTTGTTTAAAATTTAATTGTCGCATATAAACTGATACAGCAATGAGGAATTACAAGAAATTCACATCACCCTATACCATAACAAAAAAACTTATTTCTGTTTTCCAGAATCTTCTGTATACCTTGTTCATAAGCAATTGATATTTGAGTAGAGGAATTTTGTATTATGTGTTTTTAACTTAACATAAGCATTTTTTCTATGTTGCTGCAATTATTTTTAATGAGTTTCTAATATTCTACTGAGTTGTGCTGTAGTTTAATTATATCTATGTTTTCTGTGAATAATTAATATTGCAGAGAACATCTTGGTAAAAATATATTTTTCTTTCTTTTGGCTTGCTTCTTAGTTCCAAAGTTTTATTTTCTTGCGTCACAGGGTAAGAACAGCTTTAGCTCTTGGAAGCATACTGCTGAATTGCCTACCAATAAGGTGTGCCTATTTGTAATTCCACCAGCATTGCATAAGTGTAGTGGTTTCACCTCAGCCTTTTCAACATTGTGTAGTAGTGTCTTAAGACTTTTTTTGTTTTTTTTGTGATGGAGTTTCGCTTTTGTTGCCCAGGCCGGAGTGCAGTGGTGCGATCTTGGCTCACTGTAACCTCCCCCTCCTGGGTTCAAGCGATTCTCCTGCCTACAGCTCCCGAGTAGCTGGGATTACAGGCATCTGCCACCATGCCTGGCTAATTTGTTTTTTGTATTTTTAGCAGGCATGGGGTTTCACCGTATTGGCCAGGCTGGTCTCAAACTCCTGACCTCAGGTGAGCCAACTGCCTCGGCCTCCCAAAGAGTTAGGATTACAGGCGTGAGCCACTGCACCTGGCTCATGTTTTAAGATTTTAATAGACAAAAAAAAAAAAAAAAAAAAAAAAAAAAAGAATTGTTAAAAAGGCCGGGCGCGGTGGCTCAAGCCTGTAATCCCAGCACTTTGGGAGGCCGAGGTGGGTGGATCACGAGGTCGAGAGATCGAGACCAACCATGGTCAACATGGTGAAACCCCGTCTCTAATAAAAATACAAAACATTAGCTGGGCATGGTGGTGCGTGCCTATAATCCCAGCTACTCAGGAGGCTGAGGCAGGAGAATTGCCTGAACCCAGGAGGCGGAGGTTGCGGTGAGCCGAGATCGCGCCATTGCACACCAGCCTGGGTAACAAGAGCGAAACTCCGTCTCAAAAAAAAAAAAAAAAAAAAAAAAAAAAAAAAAGATTTTAATAGAAATAAAATTGCATCTTTTCTTAATTTGTGTTTTTTTAAATAAAGAGGAATGTTGAACATTTTTATACATGATTGTTTATTTTTGTATGCTTGTGTAAATTGTTCATTTATTGAAAAAAAATTTTTTATACCATGATTTTAATTTTTTCCAATAATCTGTATAAGAGCTTTTTTAAAAATGTGATAACTACCTATCCATCTTGATCTTTAATTTACTTTTACTTAGTGTAATTTTTCATTACATACACATTAAGTTTTTAGTTGATCTTTTCTGGTTTTACTGTTATGTAGATTTTATTCATAGAAATACTCCTTATGTTTGCTCTCTTTTTTTCCCCCTCCCCGCCCCCCTTACCCTCCTTTTGTTTTTTTTCCATTTTTGGGGTTTCTGTCCTTTGTAGTATTGCTATGATCTCCTAATTGGTCTCTGCCAGGCTTGCCCCCTCCAATCCCTCTTTGTTTTTCTTCTTTTTTTTTTTTTTTTTGAGACGGAGTTTCGCTCTTGTTACCCAGGCTGGAGTGCAATGGCGCGATCTCGGCTCACCGCAACCTCCGCCTCCTGGGTTCAGGCAATTCTCCTGCCTCAGCCTCCTGAGTAGCTGGGATTACAGGCACGCACCACCATGCCCAGTTGATTTTTTTTGTATTTTTAGTAGAGACGGGGTTTCACCATGTTGACCAGGATGGTCTCGATCTCTTGACCTTGTGATCCACCCGTCTCGGCCTCCCAAAGTGCTGGGATTACAGGTTTGAGCCACCGTGCCCGGCCTGTTTTTCTTCTTAAGGGAACATTAATTGGGTGCTTACTAGGTGCCAATTCTTGTACACAGCACTTTTTCATGGATTATCTCATTTAATCCCCACAACAACCTATGAGGTAGGTGCTTTTATTATCCCCATATTACAAATGAGAAAATTGAGGTTTAGGGAAGTTAACTTGTTGAAAGTGTCATAGCCAGCAGTAGAGATTTAAATGTTGGTGTTCTGACTCCAGACTAGAACTGTTACCCACTCTGCTGTGCTGTTTCCAGACTCATCTTTCTTAAAACAGCAAGACAAAACACAAAGTACACAACCCCTCCCTCCAAACTTCAAATGCTTAAAATTCTTTTTATTTGTTTTTTTTCTTTCTTTGGGGGTTGGGGGGATAGGGCCTCACTCAGTTGCCCAGGATGGAGTGCAGTAATCATTTCACTCAAGTAGCCTTGACCTCCTGAGATGAAGTGATCCTCCTACCTTAGCCTCCCTTTTGGCTGGGACTATACACACATACTACCACATTGGCTAATTTTTGTAGAGACAGGGTTTTTTCATGTTGCACAGGCTGGTTTTGAACTCTTAGGCTCAAGTGATCTACCCACCTCAGCCTCCCAAAATGTTAGGATTATAGGCATGAGCTACTACACCTGTCCTTAAAATTTGTAATGGCTCCCTATTTGTGTTATAACAGAAAGAGCTCAGCATTGGAGTCAGACACACCAGTACTGGCCCTGTCACTTAACTATGTGACTTGGGCCAAGTTAATGTAGTTTTTAACTTCATATCTTCATCTGTTAGGAATAATATACCGCATGGCAGTATCTGAGGAGTCAGTGAGGTGATGTGTATAAAACTTCTAGCTCAAATGCTATGACTGGTAGTTTCCTTCAAATTCCTTAGAAAATAAAATTAATATTTCTTAGCATGACATACAGGACTCTTCCCAATTTCACCCAATCAACCTCCTTCTAGGGAGAGCCAAGACTGGGTTTACTCTTTTTTCTCTGGCAAGTTACTTTTTAATCTTCAAGTCCTAGTTCACGTATCACCTTATGTGAAATATTTTCTTCTTCTCCTTTATGCGTCTATGGCATTTGTTCATTATCAGAAGTGTGCATTATTTATTTTATTTTTTAATTATTTTTTTTTGAGAGGGAGTCTCACTCTGTCTCTCAGGCTGGAGTGCAGTGGCATGTTCTCTGCTCACTACAACCTCTGCCTCCCAGGTTCAAGAGATTCTCCCACCTCAGCCTCCCAAGTAGCTAGGATTACAAGCAGGTGCCACCATTATACTCAGCTAATTTTTGTATTTTTAGTAAAGACAGGGTTTCACCATGTTGGCTAGGCTGGTCTCTTAACTCCTGATCTCAGGTGATCTACCTGCCTTGGCCTCCCAAAGTGCTGAGATTACAGGCGTGAGTCACCACGCCTGGCCAAAAGCGTGCATTATTTAATCTGTATTATATTACAGTGTAATTGTCTGTAATACAATTGTTTTTAATCCCTATTAGACTGCAAAATTCTTTAAGTATATTAAAGATTTTTTTTTTTTTACAAAATATTTCTGATATGCATTACATGCTCATAAATATTCTTTGTATTAAATGAAATTCATAGTGTGGATAATGTAAATAAATTAGATTTACTTAGAGAATACATAAAATACTTAATATTTAAAAGTACATGCAATAGGTAAGTATTTGTTAAACTAGTCAACAGGCTTTAGGACTTTTATAAATAAGCCTGATACAGCTAATTACAGATATTTATATTTATATACTTATTCAATAAATTCAGCAAATAATATTTATTTGATGATACTTTATTAGCTTGGTTTATTACTATTTTCCTGAAGGAACAGGATTGCATGTCTCCATCATTCAGACTTTTTGCTGCTACAGACTTTGGTATGTTAGTAAAATATTAATATTTAAAAAATAACTTGAGTATTATACATTTATATTCTGTTCAGTGCAAAGTCCAGTGTAATTCTAGTTGGATTTTAATAAAATTATTAAATCTGTTTTCTCTATTTTTGTTGTTGTTATTGTTCTTGTTGTTGTACAGTTGAAAATGCTATGGATTGTCTATTAGAATTATCTGCCACTGATACCAAGACAGAAGAATCATCTTTACAAAGTTTTGTTGCTTCTGAGAACCAAGTAGGTGCAGCAGAAAGTGAAATAATGGAAAAACGTCTTGAAGAAGAGAGTGAAGATTCAAAAATGGATTCATTTTTGGACATGCAGCTAACTGAAGACCTGGATTCCTTAATACAGAATGCTTTTGAGAAATTGAACTCTTCTCCTGATGACCAAGTATATTCACTTTTGCCTTCGCAAGATGTTAATAGTTTTAATGACCCGAGTGAGTTTGTAAATTCTGATTCCAGTAATATGACTCCTATTTTTTGTACACAAAATGTGAATTTAAACAGTGAAAATTTAGAGAATTCTGCCTCTACATTAAGTTTAAATCCATTACCTTCACATTCAGTTTTGAATGAGTCCAGATGTTTTATAAAGGATAACACAGTGGCTTTGGAAGGTAACCACCCAGAAGATTCTCTTCTTAGTAGTTCTTTAAATGTAACAGGTGACTCCATCATGGGAGGTAGCAGTCTCAATCAAAAACAGAAAGAACTTTTAGAATCTGAGTGTGTTGAGGCTCAGTTCTCTCAAGCCCCTGTAGATTTGGATGCCAGCGAACCTCAGGCTTCTCTAAACCCTCCAGGGCTTGATTTACCAGGTACGGGTGGGGATCAGAAATCTACTCCAGTCTCTGATATGTTTCTACCTTCTGAAGGGTTCAACTTCAAGCCACACAAACATCCTGAACTGCCAACTAAGGGGAAAGATGTAAGTTACTGCCCAGTACTTGCTCCTCTCCCCTTACTGTTGCCTCCTCCTCCACCTCCACCAATGTGGAATCCAATGATTCCTGCGTTTGACCTCTTCCAAGGAAATCATGGCTTTGTAGCTCCTGTTGTAACCACAGCGGCACACTGGAGATCTGTCAACTATACATTTCCACCCTCAGTTATTTCTCACACTTCCCCAACAAAAGTATGGAGAAATAAAGATGGAACAAGCGCTTATCAAGTACAAGAAACCCCAGTTTCTCAGGTTGTAAGAAAGAAGACATCTTACGTTGGACTAGTTCTTGTTCTTCTCAGAGGGCTTCCGGGATCTGGAAAATCTTTTTTGGCAAGGTATGAGGTTTAATTGGGTTTTTAAAAAATAATGTCTGAATTTGAACACAAGTGTAACTAAATAAGCAAAATGCTTTCTTAGTAGAGATCTTTAGTAACCCCTAAAATGTTTTCTTTTTACTCAATTTTTCTAACTCTGTGTAGCTAATAACACTATTTTCTCTGGAAGTTTTTTTTTTTTAAATTGAATTCCTTCATCTTGAAATATCTCTTTGAAAGACAGAAGAAAAAATTAAAGACGATTCCAAGATTGTGAGCTATTGAAGCAGTGGAAGAGATCTAATTTGAGTGGGAGAAAGATGAGTTCAGCTTTAATCATAGAGTAAAAGAGATATAATTGATCTTGATTTCATGGAATGGAAGTCTTAAATACATGAATTCTACTGGTAGTTGGAAATTCAAGATTATAGAATGTTGTTAAATAATGCTTTTAGAAATGTGTGATTTGAAGGAAGAGAGTATAGGATGACGCCTGGTAGTCAGAGAACTTCAAGTTTTCAGGGACTTTTCTGTTCCAAAATAAAGTACCATCAGTTATTTTATCTCATATATGTATACCTTTATTCCTTCTGTAGTTAAGGTAGGCTGTGAGTGCCTTGATCTGGGAGACAGGAGTCAGTGTTAGAGGCAGTTTTTTTATGGTTTCAGTGGCGTTCCTTAAAGAGTATTATTTTCATAGTCCCTCTCCATCCCTGCTTAACCTTTAAATTCGAGAAGATTTACACCCAATCTGTTTTATTTTCTAGTTCTTTTTTTTCCTTCTTCTTCCAAATTTTAACTGTTTGCCTTCTGATATTCGTAGTTGGGTCTCCTATTTGATCCTGGATATATCTATTCTAGTCTTTTTTTTTTTTTTGGAGACGGAGTTTCGCTCTTGTTACCCAGGCTGGAGTGCAATGGCACGATCTCGGCTTACCGCAACCTCCGCCTCCTGGGTTCAGGCAATTCTCCTGCCTCAACCTCCTGAGTAGCTGGGATTACAAGCACGTGTCACCATGCCCAGCTAATTTTTTTTTGTATTTTTAGTAGAGACTGGATTTCACCACGTTCACCAGGATGGTCTCAATCTCTTGACCTCGTGATCCACCCGCCTTGGCCTCCCAAAGTGCTGGGATTACAGGCGTGAGCTACCGCGCCCGGCATCTATTCTAGTCTTATTGAATATGCATAGATAACCGGAGAATGTCCTTTATTAACTTATTTTTAGGTTTTTTTTGCGTATCTTTTCTGTGTCTGGGTTTATCTGCCAGTAAATTTCCACATATTATGATAACACTTATAGGCATACTTTTCAGTAGGCATGTAGGCTTTTCTAACTGATTTAACAACAATCATAAAACAATTTAATATTATAAATGTTACAGTCAGTCATGGCGGTATGTTTCATGAAAGAGATTAGACTGAAAGGTGGAACCTTAGAAAGCAGTTGAGCTGTGAGACAAATTTGAAGAACTAGGTTTCAGGGTGTTTTAGAATCAGAGGCAGCTACAGTTAGAATGTGGGTAAAGAAAAATGTGCTTGTCACAAGGTAGAAACGTAATATTTTTTGAATGAGAGAGAGAAATAACTGGGATAGTGTTCAGACATAGAACCTGGGTTGTCTTGGAGAGAATGGTTCAGTATTCAAACCCAAGGAAAACGATGGATGCAAAAAGGCTTTTGAATTTATTGGAAATAAGGTCATGAATGGGTATCTGAGAACCAATTTTGTTGTCCTGTGAGGGTAGAAGACAAAAGGGTTTAGCAAGCTGTGATGAAGGAGTTAAGGGAAGGAGAGAAGTTGGGTAGTAGTTGAAAAGGGTCCCAAAGTGTAGTTACAATTTTTTATTTTTAATTTGGACAGAGTCTCACTCTGTTGCCCAGGCTGTTGTGCAAACTGTGCGATCTTGGCTCATTGCAACCTCCCCTCCCCAGATTTATGAGATTCTGTAGTCTCAGTCTCCTGACTAGTTTGGATTATAGGCACCTGCTGCCATGCCCAGCTAATTTTTATATTTTTAGTAAACACAGGGTTTCACTGTCTTTGCCAGGCTGGGCTCAAACTTTTTTTTTTCCTTTTTTAAGAGACAGAATCTTGCCTTGTCACTCAGGCTGGAGTGCCATGGCATGATCATAGCTCATTGTTACCTTGAATTCCTAGGCTCTAGCAATCCTCCTGCTTTGGCCTCCTGAGTAGCTGGAACTACAGGTATGGGCCACCACACCCAGCTCATTTTAAAATTTTTTGTAGAGACAGAGTCTTGCCATCTTGCCCAGGCTGGTCTCAAAATCTTGGGCTTAAGCAGTCCTCCCACCTCAGCCTTCCAAAGTGCTGGGATTACAGGCATGCGCTATCATACCCAGTCTAGTTAGAATTTTTAAAGATAGCTGAGATACATACATGTTTAATGGTAAAAAAGAAGTGCCAGAGAAGGGAAAGCTAAAAAAAAGAAGAGAATAAACATAGGAATTGTGATCAAATGAGCATTCACTAGCATGTAAGCTCCGTGAGTCTAAGTATTTTTGTCTTTTTTTTTTGTTCATTGATGCGTGCTCAGTGCTTAAAACAGTGTCTGGCACTTAATAGATGCTACAGAAATGGACATATATTTTCAGAAAAGGGTAATTAAAAATTTGTTGATCTTCAGACCTTTATAGTTAAGGATAAAATGTCTTCATAACATTAAAAGCCAGTTTCTGAATAATAATTTATATAAAGCAAAATAGACCTGGCTTAGATCAGATCTTTGGGGAATTAAACTTCTGCTTAGAGTATTTTCAGTGTGACTTGTTTGAGTACTACAATATGTTTACTCTTTTATTTATCTATTTGTATTTAATTTTTTTTTCTTTTTGAGAGAAGGTCTCACTCTGTCACCCAGGCTAGAGTGCAGTGGTGCAGTCTTGGCTCACTGTAACCTAATCCTCCTGGACATAAGTGATCCTCCCATCTTAGCTTCACAAGTAGCTGGACTGTAGGCCCACACTACCACAGTTGGCTAATTTTTGTGTTTTTTGTGTAGATGGTTCTCGATATGTTACCCGGACTGATTTTTACTGTTTTATTTTTTTTTGAGACAGAGTCTGACTCTCGCCCAGGCTGGAATACGGTGGCACAATCTCAGCTCACTGCAACCTCTGCCTCCCAGGTTCTAGCAATTCTCATGCCTCAGCCTCCCTAGTAGCTGGGACTATACGTGCATGCCACCACAACTGGCTAATTTTTATATTTTTAGGAGAGAGATGGGGTTTCACCAGGTTGGCCAGGTTGGTCTTGAACTCCTGACCTTAGGTGATCCCCAAAATGATAGTACTTGAATAATTTATTTGGTTTATGACTTTGGAAAACTTAGGAGAGAAAATTTAGAAGAAAAGGTAATGAAAATTATTTTATTTATCTTTCACAGGACTTTGCAAGAGGATAATCCAAGTGGAGTCATTCTTAGTACTGATGATTATTTTTATATAAATGGACAGTACCAGTTTGATGTAAAGTACTTAGGAGAAGCACATGAATGGAACCAGAATCGTGGTAAGAACAGATAATCGGATTCTGAGTAAGGTTATGCATGATATAAAGAAAAAATTCACTTAATATTTGTTTGTATGTTTGTTTTTTTTTTTTTTGAGACAAGGTCTCTCACCCTGTTGCATAGGCTAGAGTACAATGGCGTGATCTTGGCTCACTGCAGGCTTGACTTTTGGGTCCAAGTAATCCTTCCACCTTAGCCTCCTGAGTAGCTGGGACCACAGATGTGTGCCACCATGCCTGGCTGATTTTTGTATTTTTTGTAGAGACGGTATCTCACTTTGTTGTCCAGGCTGGTCTTGAACTCCTGAGCTCAAGCAATCTGCCTATCTCAGCCTCACAAAGTTCTGAGTTTACAGAAGTGAGCCATTGTGCTCAGCTAAATTCGCTTAGTACTTTTTTTTTTTTTTTTTTCCTGAGAGGGAGTCTCGCTGTGTGCCCAGGCTGTAGTGCAGTCATGTAATCTTGGTGGTCAGGCTGGTCTTGAACTCCCGACCTCAGGTGATCTGCCTGCCTTGGCCTCCCAAAGTGCTGGGATTATAGGTGCGAGTGACTGCACCCAGTCCTGTGGAGAATCTTACCAAGATATAGGAACTATATTTTCCTGAGTTTTTTTTTCCTTTTTAAAAATTTTTCAGATGGAGTCTCGCTCTGTTGCCGGGCTGGAGTGCAGGGGCATGATCTCGGCTTATTGCAACCTCTGCCTCCTGGGTTCAAATGATTCTCCTGCCTCGGCCTCCCTAGTAGCTGGGACTACAGGCATGTGCCACCATGCCTAGCTAATTTTTGTATTTTTTAGTAGAGACGGTATTTCACCATGTTAGCCAGGATGGTCTCAATCTCTTGACTTCATGATCCACCCACCTCAGCCTCCCAAAGTGCCTGGACTACAGGTGTGAGCCACTGCGCCCAGTGCTCAGTCTTTTATGATAAGTGTACTGTAAAGGTGATTCTTGGGTTTGCCATCTTCAGACATTGTTAAAATTTTTATATTCTTTCTTGAACTAAAGATTAAAGTAAGAATTAAGGAATATGGAAATACCAACAGACCTAAAACCAAAGGAGGCAGTATGATTTGGTCATGAAGCTCACCCTTGAATTCACCATTTATACAATCTTGTGCAAGTTATTTATACTTTCCAAGGCCCAGTGCCTCCTTTGTAAAAGGGAATAATAATACTTAACTCCCAGGATTGTTGTGAAAGTTAAATGAAGATAAAAAGTGTTAGCATTGGCCAGGCGTGGTGGCTCATGCCTCTAATCCCAGCACCTTGGGAGGCCGAGGCAGGTGGATCACCTGAGGTCAGGAGTTCGAGACCAGCCTGGCCAACGTGGCGTAACCCCATCTGTACTAAAAATGAAAGAAATAACTGGGCATGGTAGTACACTCCTGTAATCCCAGCTACTTGAGAGGCTGAGGCAGGAGAATCGCTTGAACCTGGGAGGTAGAAGTTGCAGTGAGCCAAGATCCTATCACTGCACTCCAATCCTGAGTGACAGAGCGAGACTCTGTCTCAAAAACAAAAACAAAAACAAAAACAAAAAACAATGTTAGCATGGTTCAGCATGCCCTTATAACAGCAACAGTAATATATGTTAATAGACAGAATTCATTTTAAAAGTGTTAAGACAAAACTCATGTGCCATGCAAATCACCCATTTAAATAGTACAATTCAGTGGTTTTTAGAACTTAATATTCAAGGTGTGCATTTGTCAACACACTCAATTTAACTTGGCTTTGCTGCAACTTTTAGAACACACTAAATTTTAAAACATTTTTATCATCTCAGAAAGATTCTATACCTATTAGCTGTCACTCTTCATTTCTCCCCAGTCTGTTTTGTCCCTATAGATAATTTGCCTATTCTGGACTTTTGTGATTGGCTTCTTTGAATTAGCATAATGTTTTGAGGCTTCATCCATGTTGTAGCATGTATTTCATTCATTTTTATGGATGAATAATATTCCATTTTCTGGATGTTTCGCATTTTATTCATCTATTCATCAGTTAATAGACATTTGAGTTGTTTTCACTTTTTGGCTATTATGAACAATGCTGCTGTAAACACAAATGTCTATGTACAACCTTTTTAGGAACTGCCATACTGTTTTCCAAAGCAATCACACCTTTTTATGTTTCCTCTAGTAATTTATGAGGGTTTCAACTTTTCCACTTCCTCACCAACACTTGTTATTATCTGTTTCTTTGATTATCGCTATTGTGGTAGATGTGAAGTGGTATCTCATTGTGGCTTCAATTTGCCTTTCTCTGATAGTTAATGATGTGGAACATCTTTTTGTGTTTATTGTCCGTTTGTATATCTTCTCTACAGAAACGTCTGTTCATACTTGTTCTGTCACTCAGGCTGGAGTGCAGTGGCACAAACTTGGCTAATTGCAGCCTCTGCCTCCTGGGTTCAAGCGATTCTCGTGCCTCAGCCGCCTGAATAGATGGGATTACAGGTGTGCGATACCACATCTGGCTAATTTTTTATTTTTGGTAGAGACAGGGTTTTACTGTGTTGGCCAGATTGGTCTCAAACTGCTGACCTAAAATGTTCCACCTGCCTCAGCTTCCCAAAGTGCTGGGATCATAGGTATGAACTACCGTGCCCAGCCTCCTTTGCCCATTTTTAAATTTGTCCTTTGTTTCTTCATTAGTGAGTTGTTAGAGACTGGGCAGAACTTTGAAAACTTCCAAATAAATTACTTATAAGAGTTACTTGTTGTGCTACGTCATTAATTTCCTGTATGGTCTAATTGCTTTGGAAAAAAGGTAATTTTATAAGAAAATCTCTTGTGCAACAGTGTATTAAAATGTTTTCTTTATTTTAGATCATTATATCTTGTGTGTATAAATATTTGTCCATTTGTATTTGTTTTTAAACTTTATTTTTGAATAATTTTAGATTTATGGAAAAGTTGCAGAGATACTATGGAGAGCCAGCCTCTGTATACCCTTCAATCATTTATCGTTTGTGTTAACATCTTATATAACTAGGATACATTTGCCAAAACCAAGATATCGGTTTATTATTATTAACTAAACTCCAGACTATAGTTTGATTTTAATTTTTCTACTCAAGTTCTGTCTCTGTTGCTTGACAGTCTTAATGTGTGGGTGTTTTTTTTTTTTTTTTTTTTTTTTTTGAGAGAGTCTTGCTGTGTCACCTGGGCTGGAGTGCGGTGATGTGGTCTTGGCTCACTGTGACCTCTACCTCCTGGGTTCAAGTGATTCTCCTGCCTCAGCCTCCTGAGTAGCTGGGACTACAGGCATATGCCTGCCACCACATCCAGCTAATTTTTCTATTTTAGTAAAGATGGGGTTTTTTTTTTTTGTTTGAGTCTCACTCTGTGGCCAGGCTGGAGTGCAGTGGCATGATCTCGGTTCACTACAACCTCTGCCTCCCTGGTTCAAGCGATTCTCCTCACTCAGCCTCCTGAGTAGCTGAGACTACAGGTGTGCACCACCACGCCCCGTTAATTTTGGTATTTTTAGTAGAGACAGGGTTTCACCATGTTGACCAGGATGGTCTCAGTCTCTTGATCTCGTGATCCACCTGCCTCGGTCTCCTAAAGTGCTGGATTACAGGTGTGAGCCACTATGCGCGGACTGTACTTAATTTTTTGTCCTCAAAGGGATATTTAGAAGTTGAACAGTGAGTAAAATTAGTACATCTGTATTTTACAAACTATAAAAAGATTAGATTTTTTGAAAATCATAATACTTAATGTTGTTATTTAAAAAATGATTTTTAATTTTCTGTTGTGTTTTTCAGCAAAAGAAGCATTTGAGAAGAAGATATCTCCTATAATTATAGATAATACAAACCTACAGGCTTGGGAAATGAAACCATATGTTGCTTTGGTTAGTACCGTAAGTTATAAGTTTGTATGAAATAATTGGGAATCATTAGTTATAAAAATGAATCTCAAGCGCTGAAGAATCTCAGAATCTTGGATAGTCTGTACCTGAGCTTTCTTTGGTCTTCAGCAAGATGAGGAAAATAGGACATTTAGATGAGTTTTTCCATAAACGTGAATATATTTAATTTTTAAATTCTGAAATTCAATTTTTGAACTCTAAGATTGTTTTGCTTTTTGGGGTCTTTTATGAAAAGGTAGTGGTACTAAATTATAATTTTATTTTTTTATCTGTACATATGTTATATATATTTATTTCCTTTTCCTCATACTTGGCAGAATCAAAATTTGTTGGTCCTTTGCTTTCCCCAAATTTCTTTTGAAATTTTGCTATTCTGCAAAATTCAGCATTCTGTAAACTCAGCTATTTTCTCTGAATTTGCCAGATTTCTTTTAATATCTAAACCCTTTTACTTTACCTGATTTATACCTAATCCTCTTTCCCTGCTTGTTCTTTTTTGCCCATCTTTGATGTCACCTCTTTCAGAAAGTTAACCATCTGTAATTTATTAAAAAGCTGAGTTAGGTACTCACTTATTCTGGAGTAGAAGAGAGGGTATGGCTTTATTGCCCAAACTTAGGGTTTGCCTGTTACATTATAGCCAAAATAGAACTTTGAAAAATATAATGAGCTGTTATTGTCCAGGCCTGGTGGCTCATGCCTGTAATCCCAGCACTTGAGGAAGCGAAGGCTGGCGGATCGCCTGAGGTCAGGAGTTGGAGACCAGCCTGGCTAACATGGCGAAATGTCATCTCTACTAAAAATACAAAAGTAGCTGGGCATAGTGGTGGGTTCCTGTAATCCTCGCTACTTGGGATGCTGAGGTAGGAGAATCTTTGGAACGTAGGAGGCAGTGGTTGCAGTGAGCTGAGCTTGCACCATTGCACTCTCGCTGGGGCGACAAGAGCAAAACTCTGTGTCCCAAAAACAAAAAATTATTAAAATTATACATGAGTATGATAAATACTCAAAGTATAAAAAACAATGCCAGAAGTTCTTTTCCCTAGAGGAAAATGCTTTTAGTAGTATTTTTGAGAATCTTTTCAGAAGCTTACTATGCATGTACCAATGTGTAAATAATTTTTTAAGAGAAAATTCTTTTTTTTTTTTTTTGTAGATAGAGAGTCTTTGTTGCCCAGGCTGGAGTGCAGTGGTGCAATCTCAGCTCGCTGCAACCTCGACCTCTTGGGTTCAAGCAATTCTCCTGCCTCAGCTTCCTGAGTAGCTGGGACTATAGGCATGTGCCACCATGTTTGGCTAATTTTTGTATTTTTAGTAGAGGCAAGGTTTCGCTGTGTTGGCCTTGCTGGTCTCGATCTCCTGACCTCCAGTGATCCACGCACCTCAGCCTTCCAAACTGTTGGGATTATAGGTGTGAGCCACCATGCCCGACCAAAAATTCCTTATCTTCCTTTCTTAACATTTTTTAAGAACATTCTGTCATTAACACGTGTAGAATTTAAAAAATTACTATGTAGTATTTTTATCTTGTGGTTATACCTTCACTTATTTTGTCAGTTGTATGTTAATAGCCACAGTTATTTGTATTCTTTTACTGTTACAAATAGCGGAGAACAGGCTATCCTGGCATATATCTAATATATGTATTATATAAATAAATGCTCTTATATAAGTATTTATCAGTAGCATAAATTTCTAGAAGTTAATTGCTGGGTTAAAGAGATTGTATATTTTGCCAATTTAACACATTCATCAAGATTAGATAATCTTTTACGTTTAACGTAAGTTTGGAAACAATAATTTTAATTTCTTGGAAATATCTATTTTAAATTGTTTTTGTCTTTTTTGTATGTAGTCTCAGAAACATAAATATAAAGTCCTTTTTCGGGAACCAGACACATGGTGGAAGTTTAAACCAAAGGAACTTGCAAGGTAAAACTTTGAGGCTATCTAACATGCTTTTTCTTATAATGGCAGACAGAGAAGGTCCATCTAGATTTTTCCCCTGGTAAATGACGAATGTATTGATTAGATTGTAACTTAAAAATTGAGAAAAAATTTTATATTGCTTACTGCTTTTTGTCCCATTTTATGAAGCATTTCTTTGTGTTTCTAAAATTCAGTTAAATTAACAGTAAAAATTTCACTTGTCTTATATATTCTGTACCTTATTACCTTTTTTGAGTTTTTATTTGTTTGTTTATTTTAAATACAGAAACAGGGTTTCACCATGTTACCCAGGCTGGTCTTAAACTCCTGGCCTCAAGTGATCCTCCTGCCTCTGCCTCTGCCCCCAAAGTGCTAGGACCACAGGTGTTAGCTTCCATGCCCAACCTGTACTTTATTACTTTGAATCATACGTTAATATCTGGAACTAGAACAGACCCTAGGATTTGGCATACCTGAGCCAAGTGCTACTGGGAGGGGCAGATTGTTGTAGCTGCTTAGTGACTTAGAGCACTGGAAGGCAGTGCAAATGCAGAGATGGAAAAGGTAGCAAACATCCAGCTGTTCAGACACCTCACTCCCTGCCTGCCCTCCCCTAAGTCTATACTTTATTTAGTTGCTTGACTTGAATAAAAATGTTACTCAAGGCTCGGCCTTACAGCATGTTTTGCTTTGTGTTCTGTATTCCCATAGAAATAGCCCTAACTTCATTTTGGTTAGCCTATTTTTTTTCTTGGCAACTTAAACTAATTTTAATACTAACTAAAGGACAACCTAATTTTACTATATTCACAGTGTTATGTGATCATCAGCATTTCCATTTCCTCCAAAGAAACCCTATACCTACAAGCAGTTACTCCAGTTCCCACCTCCTCTTGGCAACCACTATTGTGTGTTCTGTATTTATGGGTTTTCCTCTTGCGTATATTGTGTATAAATGGAACATATAATATGTGGCTGTTTGTGTCTGGCATCTTTTCACTTAGCATAATGTTTTTAAGGTTCATCCATGTTGTAATGTGTCACTACTTATTTCCTTTTCATTTCCTTTTGATAGATTACTGAGTTTGGTTTTCTCATATTTCATTTAGGATTTTTTGCATCTTTTTATAAATAAATGAGATTGACCTACAGTGTTTTATTCCGTGATTTCTCTTGCCTGACTTTGATATCATAGTTTTATGATCATAAAATTAATTGGGAAGTGTCTCCTCTTTTCCTCTTTTCTAGGTTTATCTAAGTTTGAATGTTAGAATTTGCTTACAAAATTCTTTGGACTGATGCTTTCTTCGTGAGAATGTTTAGTTGGAATTTTTCCATTACAGCAACATTTTCAAATTTATTAAGACTTTATTAAAGCAATTATAGTAGTCTCTTACTGTTTACATATCTACTGTGTTAGCAGTTGAGTTCCTTCCTGCAATCTTAGCATATTCATATTATCTTCTTTCTTTTTTCTTTATTATTTTCATCAGAGATCAGATTTTTTAATTAGCCTTTTCAGATAAACAAGTCTGTTTTATTTGAACTCCATTGTAAGTTTTTTAATGTTTAATTAATTTCTGCTTCTCATTCTACCTTTATTGCTTTAAAAAATCAATTTTGCTTTTTTTATTCTCTTGTTTTTTAAACTTCTTGAATGTTTAGGTCATTTTCTAATATGAGCATTTGATGTTAAAATTTCCCTATGTATGCCAGGTGTGGTGGCTCTTGCCTGTGATCCCAGTACTTTGGAAGCCTAAGGCAGGAAGATTTCTTGAGCCTGGGCAGCAGAGCGGGACGCTGACTCTACAAAAAATAAAAAAATTAGCTGGGTGTGGTGGCGTATGCCTCTGGTCCCAGGTACTCAGATACTGAGACGGCAGGTTCACTGTAGCCCGGGAGGTGAAGGCTGTGGTGAGCTGTGATTGTACCGCTGCACTCCAGCCTGGGCAACAGAGTGAGACTCTGTCTCCCAATAAAATAAAATTTCCCTATGTTTTATTTTTGCTGCTCCAAGAATTTTAATATGTAATACTTCATTTTTGTTATTATTTATTTTTTAGTTTGCATTATGATTAATTTCATTCTTTAACTCTTGGGATATTTATTACAGTGTTTTAACATTTCTGAACAGATGGGTGTTTCATCTTTTATAAAAATTGGTTTTCACCTTAACTGTAGTAGGTCAGGTTGTATAGTTTGTGTGATACTAATTCACTCATATTTTATTTAAAATTTTTTTTGGTCTAGTTAATTGTTGATTTTTTTATACATTTCATATTTGCTTGATAAGAATTACATGATTGCAGTGTGTTAATATATCCATTACATTGTGCTTATAAATTGTTAATCATACCTCCTGTATTTGAGAGATGAATGTTGAAATCTCCCATTATTATGTAGAACTTGTGGTTTCTCCTTAGAATTCTGCCTGTGCTTGCTTTATATATTTGGAGGGTATTTTTTGAAATGTATACAAGCTTAAGATTTTCATAATACCCTAATTAATTGAACTTTTATTTTGTCTTTAGTAGTGATTTTTGTTGTAAAGTGTAATTTGTCTAATATTGATAGACCTATACCAGCTTCCTTTTAAGTTAATATTTATTGTTTCTTTTTTCATACTTGTACTTTGAATGTTTTTATGTTAGAGGTATCTCTTCTAAGCATGATGGCTGGATTTTTCGAAATTCACTCTGTCTACCTTGGATTTTAACTGATAAACTTAGTTCTTTTATGGTTATTTTGATTATTCATATAATGGACCTTGTTTCTTACTGTCTCATTCTGTGCTTTCTGTTTATCTCACCTTTTCTGTGATTGATCTTCTATTATAGAAAATTATGTAGTTAAATTTTTTTCCTATTATGCCTTATTTTAGATTTTTAAAATTGATTTCAAATTTTAAAAAATTTTATTCTTCTCTACTAATTTGGAAGTTATATATAGTATTTTTGTTCTTTTAGTGGTTACCTTATGTTTTACCATGTAGACTTTAAATCCAAAGTCAAACCATTTTCTTGACTTTCCTCCTCACACATACAAGGACTTTAAAACATTTTAACTCTGATACTTACCTTCCTCTCAATTTACATGCTGTCATTATCCAGAATGTACAGGTAGTGTTTGTTTTCACTTTCTCATCTAGTTATTGCTTTCTGCTTCATTTTTTCTTGCATCATATACCTTTCATCTGGGAATTTTCTTCTGCCTGATGTTCATCTTTGAGAATTTTCTTTACAGTAAGGGTCTGCTTGGTGTCAAATTCTTTTTTTTTAATCTGCAGATCTTTTTATTGCCCTCCTTCTTGTAAGATACTTTTGCTGGATATATATATTCTATACTGATGTTATTTTCTATTGTTGAAGATAACACTTAGCTCCCTTCTGACTTATGTTATTATTGTTTTTAAGTCAGCTGTTATTCTGATTGTTTCTTTGTAGATAACTAGTTTTAAAATGATTTAAGAAAATTTCTGGTTGCTTTTAATATCATCTCTTTGTCTTCGGTGAATGACAACTTCAGTACTATGTTTCTGGTTAGGATTTCTTATTTTTTTAATCTTGTTTGGCATTTGTTGGCTTCTGAAATTAAGGGATTGGTGTTTTTCATCAGTTCTGGAAAATTCTCGGCATTTTTCTTTGCATTACTTCCGTCCCATGCATTCTCTTCTCTTTCCGGGACTTAGATTAGATGTATACTAGACCTTTTGGCTCTGGCTCCTGTGATTCTTAACCTCTTGTATTTTCTATCTCCTTGCTTCTCTGTGATCTGAAACCAGACAAGATCGAGGTAGGTAAATATGAAAGCCAGATTTGCCCAAGTGGCAAATGCAAATATTATTCATGGGATCCAGACACAAAGCCTTGAATTCAACCCAAGACAGGAGAGTTGCAACTGAGATGTTTTCATTAAGACAAAACCTTTGAGGGGCTAGAGCATAACATCTGGCCTCCTGGGAGATACAAACCTAGATGCCGTGTGAAAGCACCCCCAGGTGAAGGCCTCAGAATTCTCAAATGTTAAGTTCAACCAAATGTGAGCTTATAACCAACACTTTTAAAAAAGCCACCGTGAGTGAAAACACAAACAACAAACTTTGTATTTGAACATACTAGGAATTTTTTTTCTTTGTTTTAACTTAAAAGTATATAATTTAAGAAATCCTTAATAAAATGAAAATTAGAATCAAATCAAGTATATTGTGTCACAATAAAGCAGCTTTGATATTCTTGTCTATTAGAAATAATATTACTGTTTTTCTAGACATATGTTCTGATTTTTTTTTCTTTTTTGTCTTATGTTCTGATTTTTAAAAACTTAATTATCAATATTCCTTCAACCCTTTTCTCCTGAAATTTTCAGGCGTAACATTCATGGGGTAAGCAAAGAAAAAATATCAAGAATGTTGGAACATTATCAACGTTTTGTGTCAGTGCCAATAATTATGAGTTCTTCGGTTCCAGAGAAAATTGAACGTATTGAGTTGTGTGCATATTCTTGTGAGGACAGAAGTACTAGGTAGGTTACATTGCCTATATACAAAATTCAATTTTAAACATAATTTTTAAAAATTATAATTTTGGAGCTCATGGAATCATTGCTGGTTAACTTTAAAAATAAAGTGTACTTGGCTGGGTGCTGTGGCTCACTCCTGTAATCTCAGCATTTTGGGAGGCTGAGGTGGGTGGATCACCTGAGGTCAGGAGTTTGAGACCAGCCTGACCAACATGGAGAAACCCTGTCTCTACTAAAACTACAAAATTAGCTGGGTGTGGTGGTGCACACCTGTAATCTCAGCTACTCAGGAGGCTGAGGCAGGAGAATCTCTTGAACTTGGGAGACTGGAGGTTGCAGTGAGCCAAGATCACACCATTACACTCCAGCCTGGGCAACAAGAGTGAAATTCCAACTCAAAAAAAAAAAAAAGTGGACTTTTGTTATTTATAAGGGTCTAGTTATAGTCTTACCTGGGGTGGGATGTATGTAGTTAGCAAGAGAAGTACAAGTTCATATGAGAGATGACATGGCAGTTCTTTTATTGTCCTTAGAGTTTTGTGAGTCCATGGTTATGCTATGAATTCTCCTGCCAGCTTTATGTAATCCTCGCTGCTAATCCAGTATTTTCCTTATCCGCTCGCCGTTATTATTTTGTATCCACTCAAATCACTTCTTAATTTCCTTAAGTTTTTTTTTTTTTTTTTTTTTGAGACAGAGTTTCACTCTTGTTATCCAGGCTGGAGTGCAATGGCGCGATCTCGGCTCACCGCAACCTCCGCCTCCTGGGTTCAGGCAATTCTCCTACCTCAGCCTCCTGAGTAGCTGGGATTACAGGCACACGGCACCATGCCCAGCTAATTTTTTTTTTTTTTTTTTTTTGTATTTTTAGTAGAGACGGGGTTTCACCATGTTGACCAGGATGGTCTCGATCTCTTGACCTCGTGATCCACCCACCTCAGCCTCCCAAAGTGCTGGGATTACAGGCTTGAGCCACTGCACCTGGCCTAATTTCCTTAAGTTTTAAAAAATGAAAATACTTTTTCAAACTAGCGTTATAAAAATTATTAACGGTACACTTTTATCAAATAATACAAGTCATGGCCTTCTGATAGTTTGCAATCCTAGGTAACACTGGTTCTGTTTAGCATTTAAGACATATAAACAATTGAATACATAAAAATAGCATTAATTGACAAAGTAGAAACCAGATAATATGTAGAGGTCTGAATTATCCATGTATTATGATGGTAAGGGATACAGAGGCTCTGTTAAAAAAGAGTTGGAAATGGGGAAGAGAAAATTTATAAATGCTTTGAGAGAAAGTATTGCAAAGTGGTTAAGAGCATGGACTCTTGAGCTATATTTCCTGGGTTCAAAAATACCAAAGCTTTGTAATCTTTGACAAGTTAGAAAATCTTTCTGTACTTCAGCTCTTCATTTCTAAAATGCCGGTAATAACACTCTGCTCATAAAAATCTTAAAAGGATTATGAATTAGTACATGCAAGGGACTTAGAATAGTGTCATCTAACACATAGAAAACTTGGTGTTAGGCATGATTTCACTTAGGAAGGTGTCTTGCTAGAGTTGGGACTCTGAGCACTCCTGAAGTTTAAAAAAAAAAAAAAAGGAAATGCATTGACAAATTCAATTGGGAAAAATTAATTGAAGTTGAGAATATAAAGATTTGCACGAGTGCTCCGAATCTGAAATTAACATTAAGTATGGCTTTAAAAAATCTTAACAAATGACATTTCAAGTGAAAGCTCTTCCCATTTTCTCTAATTTCTCTTAATCGGGCAAAAAGCATTGGTTGGCTCTTTGTGACTTCGTAAATGAAGCTTCCTCTGTATCAAAAGACAGGTACATAGTATAGAGGCAGACCTATTTTACATATACTTAGCTATGTAAAACTAAGATAAGAAAGAAGTCAGGGAAGTGGTGTCATCTCCTGGAAACAAATTCAGAGCTTTAACTTTAATACATAATTAACACCTAAACTGAAAATCTCATATATACTATTCAATTCAGAAAATCGTTTGAGTGCTTCATATATGCCAACCACTGTGCTAGGTAATGGGGTTACAACTACGTAATGTGTTCATAGTATATTAGAGAAAGATAAAAATTAGCTTTCATAATTTTAATGTACTTTATTTCTAAAATTTTCAGAGTAACTGTTAAGTGCCCTGTCAATTAATGCTTCTTTAATTTAAATTGTAGTACTGATGACAGCATTAAGAGACTTTCTCATGATACTCTTTAAAATAATCTTACAGCCCAAGAGACAAAGAAGATATTATCTCTGAAAAAGAAGAAAATGTTTTATCTTCATCTTCGAAGCACCTAGAATTAATTGAAGAGAAGAATCTTGATGTAACCAAAGAAGCAGTGTTACCTGAGAGTGTTACGTATCTCTCTAATGTAGATTTAAACAAAAGAAGAAAAGAAATAAGTGATATGAATCCTAGCATTCAAAGTGCTTTAATTCTGGAAACTCCACACATGTATTTTTCTGACTCTGAAAGCAAACTACAAGCAACAGACAAAAGTGAAGAAGACCCAATAGAAATGGTGGCTGTAAAACAGTATAGTAAAAGCATTGCAGATAGCTCTGTAGAGAGAGTATCACCTAGTACTTGCTGTAGTGAAAATAATCAAGAAGACTGTGATTTTGCAAATACTGGACCTCTTCAAAATGAAAAATCCTCACCCTGCGAAATAGTGGAAGAAAGAGCAACAGTAAAGAAAAAAGCCTATGGGAAACAAAAAAGCAAATCAGCTTTGGAAAAGTTCCCAAGACATGAGCTATCAAATTTTGTTGGTGACTGGCCAATTGATAAGACTATTGGTCAGAGGACAAAAAGGAACAGAAAAATGGAAAAAACTTCATCTGTACAAAGTGACAAAAAGTATAATTACCTTCAGTCATGTAAAGTATTAGATAACAATGTATCTGTGACTATAGATGGTGTTCAGCAACCAGGATCTCCACATGAATGTGTAGAGGATGGCAGAAAGTCACAGTGTGATGATGCTTCAGAGCCACCCAATAGCTATAAATATGATGCTTATAAAAGTAATGAAAAAAACTCATTCAGCGTGGGTGACTGGCCTCCATCTGATTCTTTAGCTCAGAGGGAACACAGATCAAGAATGCCAAAGACTGGTTTAAGTGAGCCCAACCTAGAAATTGGAACAAATGACAAAATGAATGAAATATCCTTATATACAGCACATGAGGCCTGTTGGGGCATAAGCCCTCAAAAACTAAAGACGTTGGGTAGCTCCAATCTAGGAAGTTCTGAAATGCTACCCAGTGAAATGACCTGTGAGAGTCAGACTTGTCTAAGTAAAATGAGTCATGGGGAACACACATCATTGCCTCTTACTTTTACCAATAGTGCACCAACTATTTCTGGAGTAGTAGAACCACAAATGTTAACTGAATTTCAAGAGGGAATGCCTAAGAGAGATGCTGCAAAAGAAGTAGGCATGTGTACCCAGACTGAACCACAGGATTTTGCTCTTTTATGGAAAATAGAAAAGAATAAAATCAGCATTTCAGATTCTATCAAAGTATTAACAGGAAGATTAGATGGATTTAAGCCAAAAGCTTTCAATATTAACACAAAGTCAGATGTTCAGGAAGCAATTCCATATAGAGTAATGTATGATAAAAGCACATTTGTTGAAGAAAGTGAGCTTACCAGTGCAGATGAATCTGAAAATCTTAACATTCTTTGTAAACTATTTGGATCCTTTTCATTAGAAGCCCTGAAAGACTTATATGAGAGGTGTAATAAAGATATTATTTGGGCCACAAGCCTTTTGTTGGATTCTGAAACTAAATTATGTGAGGATACAGAATTTGAGAATTTCCAAAAATCATTCGATGGATCACAAATTGGGCCTTTTTCTCTGGGGTTGAATTTGAAAGAAGTTATTAGCCAAAGAGGAACTTTAGAGAATTTTAATTCTATGCCAGAGTTTTGCCATGGGACTGGTATTAGTAATGCTAACTCGCAGTCTACTTGTGATGTAGAAAGAAGAAACTCAGAGCAGGCAGAAATGAGAGCTGTTACTCCTGAAAACCCTGAATCAGTGAAAAGTATTTTTCCCCGTGCTTCTGTGGGTCTAAAGAATAATAATAATGACATACTTCCTAACAGCCAGGAAGAACTTTTATATAGCAGTAAGCAGTCCTTTCCAGGTATTCTAAAAGCTGCTACCCCTAGAGATATGAGTGAAGCAGAGAAAAACCTAGTAGTCACAGAGATTGGAGACAATAAACATTCTCCTTCAGATTTCTCTGATATTTTTAACTTTGCATCTAGTACTTCAAATCTTGAATTAAATGAAGAAATTTATTTTACTGACTCTCTTGAAATAAAGAGAAATGAAAATCATCTAAAGGATTATGTGAAATTTTTAGACACAGAAGAATTTATGAATGAAGATGAGCAGGAAATAGAGGAAATTCTAATGGCAGGAAGTGGTTTATCAACTGGAATTAATGAGGAAGATAAAACCGAGATACTGAATCCTACTGCAGTGATGGCCAGATCTCTGACCATAGACTGTCTGGAATTGGCATTACCCCCTGAACTGGCTTTTCAACTTAATGAATTATTTGGTCCTGTTGGTATTGATTCAGGTAAGGAAAAAGTAAATGACCACGTGTGTGTCTTTGTGTGACTAGACTATAGAGGGTTCTATTTTTTTTTGAGATGGGGTTTCACTCTGTTGCTCAGGCTGAAGTATAGTGCCACAATCTCAGCTTACTGCAACCTTCATGTCCCTGGCTCAAGTGATTCTCCTGCCTTAGCTTCCAGAGTAGCTGGGATTATAGACACATGTCACCATACCTGGCTAGAGGGTTCTATTTTGATTGTAAAATTATTTTCTATGTTAACCGAAAAGCAAAAGTAATTTTATGTTGCTTAACTTCACATAGTGCCTTATTTTTGACACGTTTCTGGAGGACTTAAAGAAATATAATTGGGGCTGGGTGGGTTGGCTCACGCCTGTAATTTCAGCACTTTTGGAGGCTGAGGCAGGTGGATCACTTGAGGTGAGGAGTTCGAGACCAGCTTGGCCAACATAGTGAAACCCCGTCTCTACTAAAAATACAAAAATTAGCCGGGGCTGGTGGCACATGCCTGTAATTCCAGCTACTGGGGAGGCTGAGGCAGGAGAATCACTTTAACCTGGGAGACAGAGGTTGCAGTGAGCCAAGATTGTGCCGTTACACTCCAGCCTGGGGGAAGCAGTGAGATTCCGTCTCAAAAAATTATCTATATCTATATCTATCTATCTATCTATATGTGTATATATATATGTATGTGTATATATTTGGAAGACATAGAGAATATTTATATGGAGTTTGTATTTATTCCATGCATAGTTTGAACATTTTCTCTGGTATTATTTACTTCACACTTAATTGTAGGGATGAAACTTTTAAAATCCTTTGATGCTACTCCAGATACTTTTAAGACAAGATTAATTTTTTAGAACACACTTATTGAAAAGTCTTCACTAATAGAAATGAATAAAGTAAACATATTTAGACTAATGGAAAGGGATAACTTAAATAGATTTACTATGAAGCTTTGTATAACTGCACTAGTCAAGAAGTGTGAAGACAATAACATGGCATATAACAAATAAAAATACTCTTGAGAGATTTAGTAAATAGAAACATAAGTTAGGAATTAATAATACAAGTTAGTTTTATTCTGCATGAGGTGGTTGAGTATGTTTTCTGCAAATATATAATGAATAATGATCACCTTTCTTTCCCTTCCCCACAGGATCTCTAACAGTTGAAGATTGTGTGGTTCATATAGATCTGAACCTGGCCAAAGTGATTCATGAGAAATGGAAAGCATCTGTAATGGTAGGCTTCTTTTTATAAAGATATCCTTTTTTGTCCATTTTGTAACCTTTGAATTTCAGTAAAATATATCATGTAAAATGAAGGCGTTCTATTGAATTTTGATTTCGACATGGAAGATTTCTGTTGAATTTTGACTTTGAAAGAGAATGAACTTTTACCACTTAATAGATTACTATTTTTTTTCTCTTTTCAATAGTTTAGATATTTCCAGACAGCCAAATTATATAATTAGTGGTGTAGCTCAATGTGAATGTTGATTTTTTTTTTTTTTTTTTTTCCTGAGGCAGTCTTGGTCTGTTGCCAGGCGCCACGCTGGAGTGCAGTGGCATGATCTCAGCTCACTGCAGTCTCCACCTCCTGGGTTCAAGAAATTCTCCTGCCTCAGCCTCCCGAGTAGCTGGGACTACAGGCGTGCACCACCATGCCCAGCTAATTTTTGTATAGTAGAGACAGGGTTTCACCATGTTTGCCAGGATGGTCTTGATTTCTTGACCTCATGATCTGCCCACCTTGGCCCCCCAAAGTGCTGGGATTACAGGTGTGAGCCACCTCGCCTGGCTGATTTTTTTTTTTTTCTATTTTAGAGACAGTGTCTCACTCCCTGGTTGAGTGCAATGGCACCATCCTAGCTCATTGCAGTCTTAAACTACGGGCATACAATTCCCCCACCTCAGGCTCCAGAGGAGGTGGGACTATACAGGTGCCTGCCACCACACCTAGCTATTTTTTTTTTTTTTTTAATAGAGGTGAGCTCTCACTATGTTGCCCAGGTTGGTTTCAAATTCCTGGCTTAAAGTGATCCTCCTGCCTTGGTCTCCCAAAGTGTTGGGATTATAGGCATGAGCCAGTATGCCTGGCCCGTTTTTTTTTTTTTTAAGATAAAATTAAATGCAGCATTTTTACCATTCTATAAGTGGAAAAAATATGTAGCTGTATTCATACTTCATAATTTTTATTATCTAACTTTATTGTTTTACTTAGATTTAGTAAGAATGGTTTATAATTGTACAAGGAGATATGATTTCTAGAGAAAAATAATATAACCTTGTATTGTTGACTAACTCACTCCTTGTTTGCCAATCTCTTGCTTGGCTTTTGTGTTTAGGAACGACAAAGACAAGAAGAGGTGTCTTGTGGCAAGCTTATGCAAGGTAAAGCACATATTTTTATTTCTAATGTTCTTGTTTTAAAGTTGAAACTTGGTGTGTGTGTTTGAATTTTAATTCCTTCTAAATTACTTCCACAAAATACAGTACCCACAAATTTTGATTGGCAAATAAAAGTTCTTTTTTTTTTGAGACGGAGTTTCGCTCTTGTTACCCAGGCTGGAGTGCAATGGCACGGTCTCGGTTCACTGCAGTCTCCACCTCCTGGGTTCAGGCAATTCTCCTGCCTCAGCCTCCTGAGTAGCTGGGATTACAGGCACGCGCCACCATGCCCAGCTAATTTTTTGTGTTTTTAGTAGAGATGGGGTTTCACCATGTTGACCAGGATGGTCTCGATCTCTTGACCTCGTGATCCACCCGCCTTGGCCTCCCAAAGTGCTGGGATTACAGGCTTGAGCCACTGCGCTCAGCCCAAAAGTTCGTTCTATCTATCTGTCTGTCTATCTGTCTGTCTATCTATCTATCTGTCTATCTATCTATCTATCTATCTATCTATCTATTTACTTAGAGACAGAGTCTTGTTCTGTCACCCAGGCTAGAGTGCAGTGGTGCCATCTCAGCTTACTGCAACCTCTGCCTCCCGTGTTCAAGCAATTCTGCTGTCTCAGCCTCCTGAGTAGCTGGGACTATAGGTGTATGCCACCACGCCTGGCTAATTTTTGTATTTTTAGTAGAGTCGAGGTTTCACCATATAGGACAGGCTGGTCTTGAACTCTTGACCTCAGATGATCCACCCACCTTGGCCTCCCAAAGTGCTGGGATTACAGGCATGAGCCACTGCGCCCAGCCAGTTCTTTAAATATATTTAATATTTAATATTTATATAAAATAAAACTTAAAGGGGAAAAAAGCCTCTATAATATATACTAAACTTTCATGAGTACTGTGGAACATCTAGGGTATGCTTTCAATGTATTTCCTTTTGAGGTTTTGCTCTGCATCAAAGAAGACTTTTGGTTTGAGAGCAATAAAGTGTTTATGTGTTTGATCAAGAACATCATTGAACTATTACTTGGCTATTCAAAGTTTCTATTGATGTCAGTATTGTTAGATCACAAAACCCAGCCTGCTTTTTGGTACATCCTGCCAATTTGAAAATATTTGATTCCAGATACTTCTCTTAGATAGTGTTGTCTTCAGTGGCTGTTGCAGGGTGGCAAACCTGTTAGTAAGCATCCTCCTTTCTGTGCATGAGTTCCTCCAGATGCCTCTGCTGTCCATTCCACCCTGGGACCAAGGCAAGGAGTTCCACCTTGAACTCAGGATGCACTTGGGTCCAGACCTGAGTTCATGTTGTAGTCTCAAGAGCTGCAGCTGATGTAGGGAGAGAGGTGCCCAAAGGATGGTGTGCAAATGCCAGTGTCTATTTTTTCACTCTCCAGGGCAACAGAGGAATATATCAGAATGTGTTAATATCCCTCTCAGAAGTTGAAAGGTTACACATTAAATTCTGTTATTGTGAACCTCTTAGAATTTTCAGTTCTTTATTTTGAATATCACTTGCCCAGTCTTTATTGTATGCCTTCACTGAGTTACAGGTTTGCTAAAATCCATCTTCTTGGTCCTTAGAATGAGTGGGCAAAGCTGACTATAGCTGTTCTAGTTGCTCACTTCCAGCTGGCTATAACTTCCTCTATTTACCAGTGTCCTGTATACTTGTCACCATTTTTGGGGTCGATGTGATATGAAAAAGACTGGGAAGCATTAAGTCAGTTTAAAATTATACACAGATCATTGCTCTTAAAATATTGCCACATACCATTTCTTACTTGCAATTATGTGAAGATGTATTTTACAATTTTGGAATTATGTTATATTTACAAACTGAAAATTGAAATTTTGTTCCTTAGTCTCTGAGGTAAATGTAACAGAGTGAATAATGTTTAATTTGTAAATTTATTGTTGAGAATATGACAGTATTTATTCTACTTTGTAGATCCTTCCTTGGTTGGACATACTGGTCTTGATAATCTTGAACAAAAATCATCTCAGAGAACAGGCAAAAAATTACTGAAGACTTTAGCAGCACCTGAAATGCTATCTTTATTGGATCATTGGAATATTCAAACTAAAAAAGTATCACTCAGAGAAATAATGTCAGAAGAAATTGCCTTACAGGAAAAACATAATTTGGTATGAATTAATATAAATATTAAGCTACTGTCTCTGATTCTGGTTTATTGTGTGTTTACTTTGTGATTTTCATAGTATTTTCTAATCTAGAATCCATTTTTAACCTGATTTAAGTTAATATATAATTTGAAGCTGGAGGTTTTTGCTTCAGGGAAATTAGTTGATACTCAACTATAAGCCATCCATGTTAAGTTTGTGTTGTTTTAGGTTTAATTTTATAGGTGATTGAGCTGTATCTTTTTCTTTTTATTTTTTTGGAGACAGGGTCTTGGCTCTGTCACCCAGACTACAGTGCAGTGGTGTGATCACAGTTATGGAAACCTTCACCTCCAGGGCTTAAATGATCCTCCCACCTCAGCCTCCTGAGTAACATGGACTACCATGCCTGGCTATTTTTTTTTTTTTTTTTTTGAGGTGGAGTCTCGCTCTTGTCACCCAGACTGGAATGCAGTGGTGCAGTCTTGGCTCACTGAAACCTCCACCTCTCAGGTTCAAGCGATTCTCCTGCCTCAGCCTCCTCCCAAGTGTGTGCCACTATGCCTGGCTAATTTTTTGTAATTTTAGTAGAGACAGGGTTTCATCATGTTGGCCAGGCTGGTCTCGAACTCCTGACCTCAAATGATCCACCTGCCTCGGCCTCCCAAAGTGCTGGTATTACATGCATGAGCACTGTGCCTGCCAATTTTTGAATTTTTCATAGAGACAGATTCGCCATGTTGCCCAGGCTGGTCTCGAATGGGCTCAGTGATTCACCTGCCTTGCCCTTTCAAAATGCTGCAGGCATGAGCCACTGTGCCTGACTGACTGGATCTTCTACTTTTTAAAAAAAATTATTATTATTTGTTTGAAACAGGGTCTTGCTCTGTTGCCTAGGCTGGAGTGCAGTTGTATGGTAAGACTCATTGCAGCCTCAAACACCTGGGTTTACCTTAGCCTGTCAAGTAGGTGGGACCACAGGTGTGTGCCACCATGCCTGGCTAATTTTATTTTTTTGTAGAGAGGAGGGTCTTGCCATGTTGCCCAGGCTGGTCTTGCATTTTTGGGCTCAAGTGACCATCCTGCCTCAGCTTACCAAAGTGCTGGGATTACAGACATGAGGCACCATGCCCAGCCAGCTGCATCTGTTTCGACTTTTAATATTTACTTCTATTTTTTTTATTTCTAGAAAAACATGAATGAAATCTTTTTTTTTTTTTTTTTTTTTTTTTTTTGAGACGGAGTTTCGCTCTTGTTACCCAGGCTGGAGTGCAATGGCGCGATCTCGGCTCACCGCAACCTCCGCCTCCTGGGTTCAAGCAATTCTCCTGCCTCAGCCTCCTGAGTAGCTGGGATTACAGGCAAGCGCCACCATGCCCAGCTAATGTTTTGTATTTTTAGTAGAGACGGGGTTTCACCATGTTGACCAGGATGGTCTTGATCTCTCGACCTCGTGATCCACCCGCCTCGGCCTCCCAAAGTGCTGGGATTACAGGCTTGAGCCACCGCGCCCGGCGGAATGAAATCTTAAAGATAATTATATATATTAGTAATAAGAAATGTCTGTCTTACTATTAAAGATGCCTATCTTTGAAACAAATTTTTTTAGAGAAAAATTTTAGAAACTTAGGAGTTTGAATTAAAAATATTACTCTTCCTTTTCAAATAGAACCTTCACTTTACTTTGAATTTATTTTTGGTCTTCATTTAAAAATATCTAAATATATGAAGCCATACATGCAGTTGATTTCTTTGGCATTTTTTCTTAATCTTTCTAGAATTCTGAAAATTAGTATTAAATAATTCCAGAGTCAAAAGGGAAAACATCTTAGAGGTTATTCAGTCTAATTCTCAAGGGAAAAAAAATAATTCTTGGATGGTGTTCTTAAAACAATTTAACACTTTCTTATTCATTTGACTGCACAAAGGGGTACCTTTATATTTGGCTGTAATACATCCAGTTAAGGCATAGGGATTCCTCTACCTTCATATTTGTTTTTTAAGTTTATCTTGTTTAAGTAAATTAGAAATATACTGGCATTCCCATCTTTGCATCCTAACACAATCCAAGAAATAACCTCTTCAGTAGATCTTAAAATTTTAGTGTCCTGTCAAATAGCCTCTTCAGTTAACATATGTATTAATTTGAGCAATGAATTTTTTTTCTTTTTGAGTCTCCATTTGTCACTCAGGCTGGAGTGCAGTGGCACAATCTCGGCTTACTGCAACCTCCACCTCCGAGGTTCAAATGATTCTCCTGCCTCTGCCTCCCAAGTGGCAGGGATTACAGGTGCCTGCCTCCACACCCAGCTAATTTTTGTATTTTAGAAGAGATGGGGTTTCACCATGTTGGCCCCATGGGATTACAGGCATGAGTCACCACACCCAGCTAGCCCTGCTAATTTTTGTATTTTTTTCTAGAGACAGGGTTTTGCCATGTTGCCCAGGCTGGTCTCAAGTTCCTGAGCTCAAGCAGTTCACCTGCCTCAGCCTCCCAAAGTGCTGGGATTACAGGCATGAGTTCCCACACTTGACCTTTGCTTGTTTTTCTATAGATTGGGTAATACAATAGAAGCTGGGTGGCTGTGTCCCAAGTATACCCACCTTTAGATAGAGCCTCAGAAAGATATATATATTTTTTTTCTTTTTTTCTTGCCTAGAGATGAGGTCTTGCAGTGTTGCCCAGGCTGGTCTTGAACTCCTGGCTTCAAGCAGTCTTTCTGCCTTGGCCTCCCAAAATGCTTGGATTATAAGTGTAAATGACACTGCGCCCGGCCAGATAAATTCCTGATGCTCTCCTCATTCTTTGTCCCCAAAGGAGAAATACACTTTATATATTTTTTAAAGCAAAAAATATAAAAATAAACTTTACACATAATATATGAATAAAATAATTAAAAGATGATTAAGATTACAAGTTTTAGTTCATTGATGAAACCTCAGAATTTATAGTGTAGAAACTATGACCTGATAGATTGCTGGAAAATCTGATTATTGAATTTTTTAGTAAGTTTAGACTATATGCATATCTTAATAAGTAAAATGTGAAATATTTTCAATTCTTTTTTTTTGAGACCGGGTCTCACTCTGTTGCCCATGGTAGAGTGTGCAGTGCTGGGCTCAAACGGTCTCTCACCTCAGCCCCTTAAGTAGCTGGGACCAGAAGCACATGTCACCATGCCTGGCTTATATGTGTATTTTTAGTATATATGGGGTTTCTCCATGTTGCCCAGGCTGGTCTCGAACTCCTGGGCTCAAGCGATCTGCCTACCTTGGCCTTCCAAAGTGCTAGGATTACAGGTGTGAGCCACTGTACCTAGCCAGAAAATTTTAAAATTCTCAGGTAGCTTGTTTCCATCACTCTTGTTATATGTTTAGCTTTATCAGTCCTTTTTGCTTGTCATATTTTCATCTCTTGTGGTTCCTCTTTTATTTCTGTCTGGTGTTATAAATGGCCTAAGTATGATTAAGCTTTAAAATAAATAACAATTCTAGCATTTTCTCAGATTATTTTAATTTTGTTTGTTTATTTATTTGTTTATGATACAGGGTGTCACTCTGTTGTCCAGCCTGGAGTGCAGTGACTTGATCTGAGTTTACTGTAACCTTGACCTCCTGGGCTCAAGTAGTCCTCCCACCTCAGCTGGGTCTATAGGCACTTGCCATCACACCTGGCCAGTTAAAAAAAAAAAAGTTTTATGTAGAGATAGGGTCTTGCTATGTTGCCAGGTTGGTCTTGAATTCATGGGTTCAAGCAATCCTCCTACCACAGCTATTGTAATTTTTAGGTTTAGGAATTTTCAGTCATTTTATTGCCTCTGAAACTGTATAGGAAGTTATTTTCAGACAGCAGCATCTTTGTAGCAAACAGAATTATTTTGTTACATTAAAATGTTGACAAATTATCACTTTAAGAATATTTACTATCATCTTAGGTTAGAATTAAAATAACATATTTTTAGGAAAGTTCTTTTGGTCTGACAGTTTAAATAGAGCAAATCCAAATATGAATTGTGAGTAATAATGTAACAATTCTTATGCAGTTATTTTGCAGTAAATATATTTGTGAAAAACTTAAAAAATAATTGTGAATTCTAAGATTTTCTGTCAATCTGAGTTTGCAGCTTATTTGTACATTGTAGTTTCTGCCCATTGAGGAGAATATGTTTTTGAGGACAATGTTCACAGCATCATCCAGTGTCCCTTTTATGAGGACCCATGGGAGAAATTTCTCTCAGGTCTCAATACCAGAAAAAACTGTACTTCTCCTGAGAAACTGGTTTGTTTTTATTTTATGGACAGTGAGGATCTTTGTTTCCCCCTTTGCTTTGGCCACTAAGAGTCTCAGAACTAAATTTGTGGCCTGCCTGTAGCAATTGTACAGGATTTTGTGGCATGCATTTATATACTAACACTGCTAGCTTTATCTTAGATATTTTTATCTTTATTTTCTCTATTCTGACTTCATTTATTTATATCCTGTGGATGTGTGTTTATGTGTATATATGTCTCTTCATAATTTTAATATAATGATTCAATGTGTTGGATATGCATGTCTGACAGTATGTGTATATATATTTACATACCCATGCACACATGTACATATATATGTGTGATTGTGTGTGTATATGTTTATGAGCAACTTCAAATACTTTGCAAAAAATGGGATACAAATAAATAGTGCAAAAGTACTCATATTACTAATTTCAGCCTTTAATCAGTGAAGAAAGTCTGTGATTGCTTTTAAATCCTCAGTAATTTTGCAACAAAATAACCACGCCTTCGATTAGCGTTTCTAGTATTAAACATTTTATCTTGAAGATGATTTCTGTTTTTGTTTTAGAAAAGGGAGAGGCTTATGTTTGAAAAAGATTGTGCCACAAAACTAAAGGAGAAGCAGCTCTTTGAGATATTTCCAGGCATTAACCAAAATTTTCTGGTGGACATTTTCAAGGACCACAAGTGAGTGCTAGAAGGATTGACTGTGGTTTCTACTCTGATGTCACTGAAAGCATATGTCATATTTATTTTTCTGATAACAGAAATAATATAGCTCTATAGTAGTCCCTCCTAATCTGTGGTTTTATATTCCAAAACCCACAGTGGATGCATGAAACCATGAATGTAACTGAACCCTATGTATACCCTGTATATACTATGTTTTTTTCCTTGTAAATAAAATTTAATTTATAAATTAGCCACAGTAAAAGATTAACAACAACTAACAATAAAATAGAGCAATTATAACAGTATACTGTAATATAAATTAGTAAATGTGATCTGTCTCAAAATACAGTTGTCCTTCAGTATCTGGGAGATTGGCTGCAGGACAGAAAATCTTTGTCTTTATTGTTTCTGTGTGATGTGTTTTATTTAGGGAGTCTGTTATGTCCCAATATTATGAAAATATTTTCTTTATTATTTAAATATCTAACTTATGTGTGTGGCATGGTATGAGGTAGAGACTTATAAATGAGCTAGAGATTTAACTTGTTTTTCCAAATGCCTAACCAAATGAATGGATTATCTTTGCCCACTGGTATAAAACATAACCAGTAATTTTACTGCATTCCTAAATACATATTTTCTTTTAAGGACTTCAATTCCATTGAGCTATTTGTTAGACCCTGAGTTGCCACCATATTGTTTTAATTATTGTAGTTATGTTAGGTATATGAGGAATGCTCTGCTTTGAAAAATATATACTTTTGGTCATGTATTTTTAAATTCCTCACAAAAGTTTGTTTTAAATAGATACTTTTTGAGAATCTTTTGAGAATCTAATATAGATTTTGATCTTTATTAATATATTTCATATCAATCACAATAATGGATTTCTGGAATAAAACCTACTTTATCTTCAGATTTTTTTTTTTCCTTTAATGTAGGGAGGAATTGATTTACTAGTTCACTGAAATTTTTGCAATAGTAATGAAATGGTGTTGATCTATGATTTTTTTTCTGTTCCTGGGCTATTTGTGTCAGATTTTGGTTTCAGTGTTTTATTTGGTGTTAGGCTTAATAAAATAAACTAGCAGACTGCTGTTTTTCTCTGTGCTATGGAAAGTTTAAAGAACTTCATACCTTGAAGGTTCTGGACCTGTGCTTTCTCAGGGAGAAGATCTTGGTTTATTGGGCAAAGTCTGTTTTATGCTCTCTAATCATTTATTTTTACTGATATCTTTCTCTTAGAATTTGTTAGTATATTTTCAACTCTGGTTAGTTAATTTCCTTTCATTCTTTAATAACATACATTTAAGGTATGAATTTTTCTCTATATTGTTTTGATTTTGATTTATGATATTTTAATTTTCATTGTTTTCTAAATCTCTAATTTTCTATTTACCCTAGAATTTCTTTCTTTCTTTTTGTTTTGTTTTTGGAGATAGAGTCTCACTCTGTTGCCCAGATTGGAGTGCAGTGGCACCTTTGTGGCTCACTGCAACCTCTGCCTCCCAGGTTCAAGTAGTTCTCCTGTCTCAGTCTCCTGAGTAGCTGGGATTACAGGCATGCACCAACACACCCAGATAATTTTTGTATTTTTAGTAGAGACAGGGTTTCACCATGTTGGCCAGGCTGGTCTCAAACTCCTGACCTCAGGTGATCCACCTACCTCAGCCTCCCAAAATGCTGTGATTACAGGTGTGAGCCACCTTGCCTGGCCAATTTTTAAGGCATATAAAAACATAAGTGAATTTTATGTTTAGGCTTGGATCCCATTCCCAGGGTATCTGTTTATGTATATGCAGATATTCCAAAATTTAGAAAAATCTGAAATCTCAGCCACTTCGGATCCCAAGTATTTTAGATGAGGAGTAGTCAACGTATACTTCTTTAGGTGTATGTGTTTGTGTGAGATAGGGTCTTGCTGTTGCCCAGATTGGAGTGCAGTGGCAAAATCTTGGCTCATTGCAGCCTTGACCTCCCAAGCTCAAGTGATCTACCCACCTCAGCCTCCCAAGTAGCTGGGACTACAGGCACGTGCTACCAAGCCCGGCTAGTTTTTTGTATTTTTTTTTGTAGAGTCGGGGTTTTGCCATGTTGCCCAGGCTGATCTTGAATTCCTGGGCTCAAGGGATTCTTCCACCTTGGCCTCCAAAGTGTTGGGATTACAGGTGTGAACCACTGTTCCCAGCCCAGCCTGTACTTAATATTTATTCTCTGTTGAGTGTGCAGAGTTCTAAATATGTCACCTAAATCAAATCTTTAATAATAGTATTCCAGTCTCTAATTTTCTTACTTATTTTTGCTACCTAACTTGCTATTTTCTGAGGGTTTTGTGTTAAAATCTCCCAGATGCCAGAGGGTGATGCTAGCATGTGGCCACTCCTGTTCTATGAGTACCTAGGGCAAGAGCCTGAGATGAAATAGCCCAGAGTTGTGCTTTCCCAGGGAAAGGAGGGGGCTTGGTGTGTCCTTTCTGGGGATGGCCAGTGATTGGTCAGCTAAGTCCCTCATGTTAGGTGGCTGATTGCCTCCATTTGTCTGCTAATGTCCTCTCAGCTAGCAGTAGGTTCAACTTCATCGTGGTAAGACGGGTAGGTGGGCTCGTTTACTACAGTATGTGCTTGAGGTGTAATCTTTTAGGGCTGTGACCCTCAAACAGTATCAGAGCTAGAGACTGACTTCCAGCCCTTTGAGCAGATTTTAAGGCCTGGAAAGATACGGTTTATTGTTGGTAGCCTCCAGCCCCTGGATACTGATATCCTTTGTGTTGAGCATATCTGACGCAGCAAGATGAGAGGGCTGAAGTGGAACTGGTAGTTGCACATGGCTTCCCTTCAGAGGTGGTCTTTTTTTTTTTTTGAGACGGAGTTTCGCTCTTGTTACCCAGGCTGGAGTGCAGTGTCGCGATCTCGGCTGACCGCAACCTCTGCCTCCTGGGTTCGGGCAATTCTCCTGCCTCAGCCTCCTGAGTAGCTGGGATTACAGGCACACGCCACCATGCCCAGCTAATTTTTTGTATTTTTAGTAGAGATGGGGTTTCACCATGTTGACCAGGGTGGTCTCGATCTCTTGACCTCGTGATCCACTCGCCTCGGCCTCCCAAAGTGCTGGGATTACAGGCTTGAGCCACCACGCCCGGCCCCAGAGGTGGTCTTTAATAAACCGAAGAATAGCAAAATGCCACACTGTTTTGGATAATTAGTTAACCACATTTCTTTCTTTTTTTTTTTGAGGCAGAGTTTTGCTCTTGTTGCTTAGGCTGAAGTGCAGTGGCACTGTCTTGGCTCACTACAACCTCTGCCTCCCAGGTTCAGGTGATTCTATTGGCCTTAGCCTCCTGAATAGCTGGGATTACAGGCGCATGGCACCATGCCTGGCTAGTTTTTCTCATATTTTTAGTAGAGACAATTTCTCTGCATCCTCAGTGACACGTTATTATTTAATACCTGTCTTTTATTTTATTTTATTTTATTTATTTATTTTTTGTTTGTTTGTTTTGAGACGGAGTTTCGCTCTTGTTACCCAGGCTGGAGTGCAATGGCGCGATCTCGGCTCACCGCAACCTCCGCCTCCTGGGTTCAGGCAATTCTCCTGCCTCAGCCTCCTGAGTAGCTGGGATTACAGGCACGAGCCACCATGCCCAGCTAATTTTTTGTATTTTTATTAGAGACGGGGTTTCACCATGTTGACCAGGATGGTCTCGATCTCTCGACCTCGTGATCCACCCACCTCGGCCTCCCAAAGTGCTGGGATTACAGGCTTGAGCCACCGCGCCCGGTCTGTCTTTTATTTTTATTTTTATTTTTTAAAGACGAGTTTCACCATGTTGGTCAGGCTGGTCTTGAACTCCCGACCTCAGGTGATCTGCCCACTTTGGCCTCCAAAGTGCTTGGATTACAGGTGTGAGCCACCACGCCTGGCCAATACCTGTCTTTTTTTTATTATAACTATTGTAATGAATGGGAAGTTGTTTTAAGAATGTCCAAGGAAACCAAGTGTGAATTCAACAAAGGGTTTAAGAAGAATAGGTGCTAAAATGAAAGAAAGATTTGTTATAGGTAATCTGCACAACAAAGAATTAGCAATTGAATTATCAATATATTACCTTTTGGTATTCATTTAGTAGCTGGGGTTGCAGGCACATGCCACCATGCCTGGCTAATTTTTTTCATATTTTTAGTAGAGATGGGGTTTCACCATGTTGGCCAGGCTGATCTTGAACTCTTGACTTCAGATGATCCACCTGCCTCAACCTCCTAAAGTGCCGTGGATTACATGCATGAGCTATCACGCCTGGCCTAGTTAACCAAATTTCAAAAAATACTCTTATGTGCTCAGTTCCTCAGTATCTGGCCAATGGAAGAGGTGAGAGACATAAATAGTGTGAAATACTGAGCAGCATAAAATCATATGTAATTTTTTTGAATGATTTTCTTTAGATATTGGAACATGAGTGTATCAGACATTTGTCAATTTGTAGAATTTCATTCTACAGATTCTATAGTATCACCCTCAAGATATGACTGTGTAATGCGGGCATGAGAGGTAGGGTAGGGTAGTGCTTTACTTTTTATTTTCTGTATCCTTACTTAGAATTTGACTAGAATCCCATGGTAAAATTAAACGGGATTTTACATAATAAAAATGTCAACTTAAAGGTCTATTGTCTGTGTTTGTTGTTTGAGGGAAACCAAGTGTGAATCCAACAAAGGATTTAAGAAGAGTAGGTGATAAAAATGAAAGATTTGTTGTGGATTATCTGCACAACAAGATTAGCAATTGAATTATCAATATTACCTTTTGGTATTCATTTTTTGAAAATTAGTTTTTGAGAACTTATTACTTGATCATTTCCTTCTGATCATTCTTGATTATTTTTTTGAGATACATACACCATGTTAAGCATTTAACTTAAGCTGGTTTTTCATATTCTTGTAAGGTGTTTGAAGATTCTTGTGTTAATGTCTCCACATAACTTATTTTCATTTACTGACATTATGTTTGTTCTTAAATTTTCTACAGCTATTCGTTAGAACACACAGTGCAATTTCTGAACTGTGTTTTTGAAGGGGACCCTGTAAAAACAGTTGTAGCTCAAGAGTTTGTTCACCAAAGTGAGAATGTCACATCTCATACTGGCCAGAAGTCTAAAGAGAAAAAGGTATGGAGTTACTAAGTTTTTTCTATAGATAACTGTATATAAAAATATAATTGGTTTATTGAGTATAATAATTTAATGATTATTGCTCATCATTTTCTCTAGCCTGGAAATTTAACCACCAATGGGATATTTGTCTTAGAATATCTGTGCACTCAAAATAATCAATTTATAGTTGGTTTTTTTTTCTTTGTGTGCATGATAAACAGGCACTTGAATATCTGCAACTTCTGTATACTTGGACACAGTAGAGTATATGGTTTAATTGAATAGCTGTAGGTTTGTTATATGATGGGTCTTGAATATAAACACATGGGCAGAAATAGCCTTTTGGGAAAGTACCAAATTTTTTCTCAAAGTGGCTCCATCATTTTATATTTCCACTAGAACCGTATGAGGGTTACAATTTCTCCACATTTTCACTGACACGTGCTATTACTGAATACCTGTCTTTTTTATTATAACCATTGTAGTGAGTGGGAAGTTGTTTTAAGAATGTCCAGGATTTGTTTTAATCAGGTATAGTAAGACATATAGAGATGGAAATGTTGTGAAGGAAGTTTATTATACTCGTAGAGCTCTTGAAACAGGAGGTATGGCCTGCTACCCAAGGCCACATGGGGAGCCAGCAGGATTGGTCAGGAAGCAGGAGTTGGGGGAAATGTGGAGAAACGCCTGTGTTTTGGATTCTATGAGAAGGAATGTGCAAGGCAGAATAAGCAGGTTTAGGATTGGCTAGTTTAAATAATTTCAGCAGGCTCTGGAGCATAGGGACTTCCTCTCTTTGTCTGATAATTGGCCCAGGGGTGATTAGGGCAGGTGGATAGTGCCCTGGAATGGGAGAACCCCATTCAAGGAGGAGGTTGGAGGCCTAGGTTCTGGATTGGTTGGTTTGCAAATGAAGAGCGTGCTGCCAGACAAATGTTGGTTATTTCTAGGAATTAGCTAAACCTGAGGGGGTTGTGAGAGTGGAGGGAAATGAGAGGGCCGAGGGAGCAGCCTTTCTAGCATCATGAAGGCTGCAAAAATGCGAGCACCAGAATACAGAAAATAAAAGACATGGTTAATACAGAAGTGGTGTCTTTTGGTTTTGATTTGCATTTCCTTGGTAACTGTTGATGTTGGGTATCTTTTTATGTGCTGTTGGTCATTTGTACGACTTTGGAGGAATGTCTGTGCGTATTCTTTCCCTAATTTTAAATTGGGTTATTTGTCTTTATTGCTGAGTTGTAAGTGTTCTTTATATATTCTAGATACAAGTCCCCAATCAGACTTGTGATTTGCAGATATTCTATTCTTTCCATAAGTTGCCTTTTCACTCTGTTGTTTCTGTTGCAACACTGAAGTCTTTTAATTTGATGTAGTCTAGTTTATCTACTTTTCCTATTGTTGCCTGTGCTTCATTGCCAAATCCAATGTCATGAACTTTCTTCCTGTATTTTCTCTAGGAGAAAATACAGGAAGAAAGTTTATAGTTTCAGGCCTTTCATTTAGGTCTTTAATCCATTTTGATTTAATTTTTGTATATGTTGTGAGATAGAAGTCTGAGTTGATTCTTTCACATGTGGATATCCAGTTGTCTCTTGCCATTTGTTTCAAAGACTGTTCTTTCCCCATTAAATTTTCTTGACACTCTTGTTGAAAATGAATTGACCCTGGCTAGCCATGTACAGAAAGCAGAAGCTGGACCTCTCCCTGACACCTTACACTAAAATTAACTCCAGGTGGAGTAAAGGCTTAAACATAAGACCTAACACCATAAAATCTCTAGAAGAAAATCTAGGCAAAACCAATCAGGACATAGGCGTAGGCAAGGACTTCATGACCAAAACACCAAAAGCATTGGCAGCAAAAGCCAAAATAGACAAATGGGACCTAATTAAACTCCACAGCTTCTGCACAGCAAAACAGTCATTAGAGTGAATCGGCAACCAACAGAATGGGAAAAAATTTTTGCAGTCTACCCATCTGACAAAGGGCTGATATCCAGAATTTACAAAGAACTAAAACAGATCTACAAGAAAAAAACAAACAAGCCCATTCAAAAGTGGGCGGAGGATATGAACAGACACTTTACAAAAGAAGACATACATGAGGCCAACAAACATATGAAAAAATGCTCATCATCACTGGTCATTAGAGAAATGCAAATCAAAACTACATTGAGATACCATCTTACGCCAGTTAGAATGGCGATCATTAAAAAACCTGAAGATAGCAGATGCTGGAGAGGATGTGGAGAAACAGGAACACTTTTTTTTTTTTTTTTTTTTGAGACGGAGTTTCGCTCTTGTTACCCAGGCTGGAGTGCAATGGCGCGATCTCGGCTCAGCGCAACCTCCGCCTCCTGGGTTTGGGCAATTCTCCTGCCTCAGCCTCCTGAGTAGCTGGGATTACAGGCACGTGCCACCATGCCAAGCTAATTTTTTGTATTTTTAGTAGAGATGGGGTTTCACCATGTTGACCAGGATGGTCTCGATCTCTTGACCTCGTGATCCACCTGCCTCGGCCTCCCAAAGTGCTGGGATTACAGGCATGAGCCACCATGCCCGGCGAAACAGCAACAGTTTTACACTGTTGGTGGGAGTGTAAATTAGTTCAACTGTTGTGGAAGACTGTGGCGATTCCTCAAGGACTTAGAAATTCTATTTGACCCAGCAATCCCATTACTGGGTATATATCCAAAGGATTATAAATCGTTGTACTATAAGCACACATGCACACTAATGTTCATTGCAGCACAATTTACAATAGCAAAGACCTGGAACCAACCCAAATGCCCATCAATGATAGACAGGACAGGGAAAATGTGGCACGTATACACCATGGAATATTATGCAGCCATCAAAAACAATGAGTTCGTGTCCTTTGTAGGGACATGGATGAACCTGGAAACCATCAGTCTCAGCAAACTGATACAAGAACAGAAAATCAAACACCACATGTTCTCACTCATAGGCGGGTGTTGAACAGTGAGAACACATGGACACAGGGAGGGGAACATCACACACTGGGGTCTGTCGGGGGGGAAATAGGGGAAGGACAGTGGGGGGTGGGGATTTGGGGAGAGATAGCAGGAGGAGAAATGCCAGATATAGGTGAAGGGGAGGAAGGCAGCAAATCACACTGCCATGTGTGTACCTATGCAGCAATCTCACATGTTCTTCACTTGTACCCCAAAACCTAAAATGTAATTTTAAAAAATGAATTGACCATAATTGTAAGGATTTATTGCTGGACTCCTAATTGTATTCTATTCATCTGTATGTCTTTTCTAATGCCAGTACCACTTGTCTTAATTACTGTGGCTTTGTGGTAAGTTTTAAAATTGGGAATGTGAATCTTCCAACTATGCTCTTTTTAAAGATTTTGGCTCTTCTGGTGCTCTTGGATTTCCATGTGAATTGTAGAATTAGTCTGTGAATATCGAATATCTGTACAGAAGCCAACTAGAATTTTGATGGTGTTTGTTTTGAATATGTAGAGCAATCTGAGGAGTATTGCCAATTAACAATATTAAGTCTTTCAATTCATGAAATGGATTATCTTTCAGTTTATTTAGGTCTTCGTTAATTTCCTTCAACAGTGTGTTGTAATTTTCAGAGTATAAATTTTGCACATCTTTTGTTAAGTTTATTTCTAATACAGTATTTTATTCTTTTTCATGCTGTTGTAAATGGAATTATTTCTTTTGTTTGTTTTGTTTCTTTCTGGTCTGGAATTATATTGTCTTTTTAATTTTTATTTATTTTTATGTTTTAATTTTATTTATTTATTTTTGAGATGGAATTTTGCTCTTGTTACCCAGGCTGGGCAATGGCATGATCTTGGCTCACCTCCACTTCCACCTCCTGAGTTCAGGCAATTCTCCTGCCTCAGCTCCTGAGTAGCTGGGATTACAGGCACGCGCCACCATGCCCAGCTAATTTTTTGCATTTTTAGTAGAGATGGGGTTTCACCATGTTGACCAGGATGGTCTCGATCTCTTGACCTCGTGATCCACCCGCCTTGGCCTCCCAAAATGCTGGACTACAGGCGTGAGCCACTGCGCCCGGCCTTGTATTGTCTTTTTTAAAAATTTACTTTTTTTTCTGAGATAGAGTTTCACTTTTGTTGCCCATGCTGAAGTGCAGTGGCATGATCTTGCTCGCTGTAACCTCTGCTTCCCAGGTTCAAGCAATACACCTGTCTCAGCCTCCTGAGTAGGTGGGATTACAGGCATGCGCCACCACACCTGGGTAATTTTTTTGTATTTTTAGTAGAGACAGGGTTTTTCCATGTTGGTCAGTCTGGTCTCAGACTCCTGACTGCAGGTGATCTGCCCACCTCGACCTCCCAAAGTTCTGGGATTACAGGCGTGAGCCACTGCACTGGGCCTACTTTATTTTATTTTTTATTTTTTTTATTTTTTTGAGATGGAGTTCCGCTCTTGTTACCCAGGCTGGAGTGCAATGGCGCGATCTCGGCTCACCGCAACCTCCACCTCCTGGGTTCAGGCAATTCTCCTGCCTCAGCCTCCTGAGCAGCTGGGATTACAGGCACACGCCACCATGCCCAGCTAATTTTTTGTATTTTTAGTAGAGACGGGGTTTCACCATGTTGACCAGGATGGTCTCGATCTCTCGACCTCGTGATCCACCCACCTCGGCCTCCCAAAGTGCTGGGATTACAGGCTTGAGCCACCGCGCCTGGCCGCCTACTTTATTTTTTGATATTAGTTTTAAATTAAAAAGAGACAAGGGTCTTGCTATATTGCCCAGACTGGTTTCATCTCCTGGGCTTAAGCAATACCGGCTTGAGTCACCGTGCCTGGCCTGGAATTATGCATTAATTTTATTTTTGGATTGTTTATTACAAGTACATTCTCTCTCCTGATAACATGCAAGGCAGTACGAGTCATTATGCTGATAGGAGGTGATAAGAGGATATGGTTGCTCAAAGTGGGAGATGATTAGAAATGTAATCAAAGGGCAGGTACGGCCAAGGCAAGTGGATCACCTGAGGTTGGGAGTTCGAGACCAGCCTGACCAGCATGGAGAAACCTCTGTGTCTACTAAAAATACAAAATTAGCCAGGCGTGGTGGTGGCACATTCCTGTAATCCCAGCTACTGGGGAAGCTGAGGCAGAAGAATCGCTTGAACCTGGGAGATGGAGGTTGCGGTGTGCCAAGATTGTGCCATTGCACTCCAGCCTGGGTAACAAGAGCAAAACACTGTCTCAAAAAAAAAAAAAAAAAGGAAGGAAATGTAATCAGAAAGTTTTTGTGAGTTATGCCTTAGCCTTGCCCACAAAAGGTAGGCAGGTGGCTCAAAACTGATTAAAATCTTTTAAGATGTTTGAACATAATAATCTGTCTCTTTGTTATCCCAGGATGCTCAGGGACCATATTGCTATAGGGGATATCCTGGTGCCAGTAACATTTTGCTTCTTCTCTTTTCAAGAAACTAACATTTAAAATTCCGTTGTATTAATACTACTTTTTTTTTTTTTTTTTTTTTTTCTTTACATTTTATAGGTGTGTTACCACAGGAAATTTTAGTGTTGTAATGCATCATGCTTTCAAGAGAATATTAGGTAAATTCCTAGGAAGCAAATATTTATTTTCGGAGACAGGGTCTTGTTCTGTTGCCCAGGCTGGAATGCAGTAGCACCAGCATGGCTCATTGAAGCTTCAGCTTCCTGGGCTTAACTGATCTTGCCTCAGCTTCCCGAGTAGCTGGGACCAGGCATGCACCATCATGTCTGACTAATTTTTAAATATTTTGTAGAGTTGGGTCTCACTTTGTTGCCCAGGCTGGTTGAATTGATAAGCTCAGGTGACATCCTGCTCCAGCCTCCCAAAGTGCTGAGATTACAGGTATAAGCCACCTCACCTGGCCATAGGAAGCAAATATTTCACTTGGCCCTTGTTAATGAAGTAATAGTAAACCATGTCACTATGAAATGAATATAAAAGTAAATTTCAGTTGTATTTTAAAAGAGAGTAACTATTTGAGAAAATGTCTTTCATTATTTTTAAGAAAATGAAAAATAAAGTGTCTCTTGCCAGAGAATCAAATATGATTGCATTTTTTTAGTATAAATACCTACAGAGACCCTAATGCTATGAAGTATTTATTAAGTTCATAATGTTAGGCATTCTGAAGTTTTTAAAAGTCATAGAAAGTAGTTTTATTATCCTCCCTGAAGTCTTTGATTTTATCAGGGAATCAAGCTATGCATTCACAGAATATTTAAATTTTAATATAAAGAAGCTTGTGGATTAAGCACTGGTAAGAGTGACATCAGGAGTTAGGTTCTATGAATATTCTTATATCAGAGACATCCTTGTGTTCTTTCATAAAATAATTTGGGTATCTGTTACAAAAATATGTCAACTGATTTGCTCTGGTAATGTTAGGAGTATGGTGATGTCTACTCTTTTTTTTTTTTTCTCCTTTCTTTAACTCTTTAAAGCCTATGGAGTTCTGGGGCTAAATGAGAAAAATATAATCAATGAAGAAATTGTATGACCACTTACTATTATATATGAGGCCAGTTTTCCCCAACCTTTCTTGACTTCTGAACTCTTCACAGACAGGAAATGAAAAAAAAATCATACTTACCAGTTAGTGATTATGGCCAAAGTGCGGTGCACAACATATATATACGTATCTGTAGAGACAGGGCCTTGCTTTGTTGTCCAGGCTGGTCTTGAACTTCTGGTTTCAATTGAGCCTCCTGCCTTAGCCTCCCAAAGTGCAAAATTATAGGCGTGAGCCACCATGCTGAATAGCTTTTATTCTTTTGGCTTGATTTAGTGACCTAATTTTTTTTTTTTTTTAAGAAATTTTGAGATTTTTTTTTAATTTGAAGGTAATCTTAATGCTATTAAATTCACGAATGCTAATTTAAATACCCAATCCTATTTATCTAAAATACACAGTGCAAACACAAGTATCTATTCTACTTGTCAGCACCTGTTGATATCGTGAATTGGAAATGAGGAGAATAGATTCCCCTTAAACTGCAAGTCAGCAGGTGTTTCTTTACAGTTAATTTTAGCAAAATTCATACAAAATAGTAATTAACAGTGATCTTATTAACTCACAGTTAAAACCTTTAAAACTGCATTTTGTTAAAGTTTCTGTACTAAAATATAGAAAAACTGAACTACACAAATATTGAAAAATTAAAAACTTCTAAATTTTTTATTCCTGGTAACACTACCACAATTTACAGGGGCAATATACCTGACAAAAGTATAAAAGAGACAAACCTGCAACAGATAAAATATCTCAAAAATGTACATCTAATTTATACTACATTGCATTAATCAATTGCTGCAATATTGCAAACTATGGCTATGACAGTCCTGAACAAGAAGGGTTTCCTGTTTAAGCTGCAGTGACTTTTCTGACTATAAGTCATCGTTTCTTCTGTGGCACATTTTTACATTTCCTCTAATGCTTTTGAGCTATTGTCTCAAAGTAACCTGCAGCTTTCCTGCCAATGCCTCGCTCTCACTTCTGCTAAGAACTGTAGCCCTTTTCTGCTGTTTTTAGAACCTTCTGCTGCTGTATCTACCACTTCCACCACCAGATCCATAATGACCACCATGGGGACTGCCTGAGCTTCTTCCACCAAAACTGTCCCCTTTCATGAGTTCATAGTTTGATTGCGGTTGTCCACTGTAATTCCCAACATCGGTATAGTTCCCACCACCGCCATAGTTATCACCGCCAAAATTTCCTCCTTCATTGTAACCATCATATCCTCTACTGCCACCATGTCTACCACCTTGGTTTCCATATCCTGGTCCACCACCATCAGAGCCCCCTCTGCTACTATAACCAGGACCACCGCCATAGTTGCCACAATCACCTCCAAATCCATTATATTCACCAGCACCACCTCCATAACCACCTTTGCTGCCACCACCTCCACCAGCATAGCCTCCTCTTCGACCAAGGTTTCTACCACGGCCAAAATTATCTCTACCATCTCCAAAGTTTCTTCCTCTACAACCCATAAAATTGCCAGATCCACCTCCACGACCTCTCTGTGATCCAGCAGACTGCATCTCTTATTTAGAAAGGGCCTTTTCCACTTCACAATTATGCCCATTAATAATGTGGTATTTCTGAACAACAGTTTCATGAACTGTATCACCATCATCAAAAGTTACAAAAGCAAATTAACTCTCTTTTTCCCCCACTCTGCCTGTCTTCCATAACTTCTGTGGTTTCAATCTTGCCATACTTTTCGAAGTAGTCTCTCAAATTACATTCTTCTGTATCTTCTTTAATATCACCAGGAAATTTTTCTTCACTCTTAAATGGGCACCAGGCTTTATAGAATCCTCTCTAGAAATAGCTGTCTTTGGTTCCACTACATGCCAGTCAGCCTTGTGTGGTTGAGCACACATTGCATTCACCTCTTCAACACAAGAATAAGTCACAAAACCAAAACCTCTGGAACATTTTGTTTGGGGGGGGGTCTCTCATTATTATACAATGTTAGTGTGCCCCATTTCTCATAATGTTCTCTTAAACTATCATCTGTAGTTTTAAAGCTCAGACCACCAGCGAACAGTTTTCTCAACTGCTCTGATTCCTTGTCATCATGGCTCTCATCCCCCTGGCAGTGGCAGCGATGGCCGGAGTTGGGCTGGGGACGACCAGATGGTGGTTTTACCTCCATTTTGACACCAGACTCACCTCTTCCAACTCGAGTTCAATAGCCCTTATTGTATTTTAATAATTTTAGAGAACTCTTCAACATCTCCAGAGATAAGAGTGGTTAAAGAAAGGGTAACCTTAATGGCATAAAAAAGTTAATGATAGTTGATACGTGGCTGACTTACTTAAAAGGTAGACACTGGAGAGAATCTGTTTCCTGAGCAGAGAGATGAAAATATATGAGAGCCCAGTTTTCATTTGCTTTGAGTGAAGGTGTAAGGCATTAGTTTTTTAAACTCTCTGTGTGTATTACTTACTGTTTAAAATCTTACAGCCAAAGAAATTAAAAGAGAATGAGGAAACACTAAGCGAACTGTCTTTCCAAGACTTTGAGTACCCAGACTATGATGACTACAGGGCAGAGGCTTTCCTTCACCAACAGAAGAGGATGGAGTGTTACAGCAAGGCCAAAGAAGCTTACCGGATAGGGAAAAAACATGTCGCCACCTTTTATGCCCAGCAGGTAAAGTGGAAAACTGATGTTACATATTTTTTCTTTGTCAGTTAACACAGCTAAATAATCTTGAAGCAGATAACACCCATATTGTTACTACATTAAGTTATTCTGCGGAATGTAGTGGTTATATAAGTGACATAAATGAGGTATCCTAAGAAATGTATGGTCCTGGGAATTTCATCTGCTGTTTTGAACATTTGAAATGCTCAGCTTCTGTGGTTGCTTTTGCATTTACTGCTTAAGTGGAATAACAGTTTATTCTGACACTCCATATTTCTGGCAGCAGAATATTAATATTGGCCATCTCAGAGTGGGATTAAAGGGGTTTTGTGCCTTCTATCACATTGGAATTTTTAGTAACATATCACTTTCATAGTAGAAAAATGACATTAATATTTTTTAGGGAAGTAAAATTGCTACCTGAGGTCATTTGACATGGTATTATAAGGAACCTGCTTTTTTTTTTTCCTTTTTTTTTTTTAAGATAAGGTCTTCCTCTGTTGCCCAGGCTGGAGTGTAGTGGTACAGTCTCAGCTGACTGCAGCCTTGACCTCCCGGGCTCAGGTGATCCTCCTGTGTCAGCCTCCCAAATAGCTGGGACTACACCACCAGGCCAAGCTAATTTTTGTATTTTTTGTAGAGATGGGGTCTTACTTATTATGTTGTATAGGCTGGTCATGAACTCCTTTGCTCAAGCAATCCTCCCATCTCAGCCTCCCAAAGTGCTGGCATTATAGGTGTGAGGTACCACGCCCAGCAAGGAATCTGCTTAAATTTTTATGTTTATGGTTCCATATGTGTTACTTCTTTGTGTTTGAGCAGAGAAGAGTATCAAACTGCTATAGCCCTGTGACTCCTCACAGTAGTCCTTGGGGGATAGCTTCTGGGGTAAATAACTATAAGATGTTGAAGGTGGGCTGAGTATGGTGGCTCACACCTGTAATCCAAGCACTTTGGAGGCCAAGGCGGGCGGATCACCTGAGGTCGGGAGTTCAAGACCAGCCTGACCAACATGGTGAAACCCATCTTTTTTTTTTTTTTTTTTTGAGACGGAGTTTCACTCTTGTTACCCAGGCTGGAGTGCAATGGCGCGATCTCGGCTCACCGCAACCTCCGCCTCCTGGGTTCAGGCAATTCTCCTGCCTCAGCCTCCTGAGTAGCTGGGATTACAGGCATGTGCCACCATGCCCAGCTAATTTTTTGTATTTTTAGTAGAGACGGGGTTTCACCATGTTGACCAGGATGGTCTCGATCTCTCGACCTCGTGATCCACCCACCTTGGCCTCCCAAAGTGCTGGGATTACAGGCTTGAGCCACCGCCCCCGGCCTGAAACCCCATCTTAAAAAGAAAAAAAAAAAAAAGATGTTGAAGGTGACCAAGACGAGACCCAGCATTATCAAAGCATACACAAATAATAAACCAGTGGTTTTAAAAACAAAAAAATAAAGTAAAATAAAGTAAATAAACCAGTGGTTCCTTCTTGAGATGGTGTATTAGAATTCTCTAGAGAGACAGACCAGTAGGATATATGAAAAAGAATTTATTAGGGGGAATTGGCTCTCACAATCACAGAGGTGGAGAAGTCCCATAATAGACCAGCTGTAAGCTAGAGAACCAAAAAATTCAATAGCATGGCTTAAAGCCAGGAGTGTAGCACAGTCAAAGCTCAAAGCCTTAGAACCAAGGATACTGACAGTGCAGTCCCCAGTTCAGGAAAAAACACTCAAGACCCACGGAGAGGCAGCTGGTGTGGGTCCCACAGTCTAAAAGCTGAAGAACGCGGAGTCTGAATTCCAAAGGCAGGAAGAGAACATCTGCCTGTTTGTCCTAGCCAGCCCCCAGTTGCCCACATGGAGGGCAGGTCTTCTTTCTGTCCACTGACACATACGTCAGTCTTCTCTGGAAACAGGCTCAGACACACCCAGAAACAGTGCTTCACTAGCCATGTAGATATTCCTCAGTCCAGTCAAATTGATACCTAAAATTAACTGTCACAGATGGGGACTGTGTTTAGTTAAGTTTCCCACTTTTACGACTTTTGGTTCAGAAAATATGTTAGAAAGAATGTTGCAGTAGTACTGCATTATTATTATTATTTATCTAGAGATATTCTTGCACTGTCACCTGGGCCGGAGTGCAGTAGTATGATCTCGGCTCACTGCAACCTTTGCCTCCTGGGTTCAAGCGATTCTCCTGCCTCAGCCTCCCAAGTAGCTGGATTACAGGTGCCTGCCATCACACCAAGCTAATTTTTTGTAATTTTAGTAGAGATGGAGTTTCACTATGTTCGCCAGGCTGTTCTTAAGCTCCTGACCTCGTGATCTGCCCACTTTGGCTTCCCAAAGTGCTAGGATTACAGGCATGAGCCACTGCACCCAGCCAGGACTACATTATTAATAAATTGAAATTTGCCTAAATTTTGGTGCATTATTGTATATTAAACTCAATGCATTAAGATTTTAGATTTATGATTCCCTTTTTTCTCCTGGCCTTTTATTTGGGGCACTATTAATTTTCTCATCACCCAAGTAGCAAATATCAAAAGTGTCCCTTGGTGATATGTTTATGATTTAGGGTACTCTTCATGAACTGAAGATGAAAGAAGCCAATCACCTTGCTGCTGTGGAGATCTTTGAGAAAGTCAATGCCTCACTGCTGCCACAGAATGTTTTAGACCTCCATGGGCTGCATGTGGAGGAAGCTCTAGATCATTTGATGAAAGTTTTAGAGAAGAAGACTGAAGGTAGGACTGTGGCAATTACAAGTTTTCAATATAATATATGTCTTTGCTTATATTGGTGTAACTGGCAAATTCAGGAGAGTCTGAATATGCAGGCTGAGGATATCTGTGCAACATTGTAAACACTTGTGTTAGTCATTCTTCAAGAGAACCTTCTTGGGAAAGGATCCTCATTGGTATGACGATTAACATTTTCTTCATTTGCATTCCTGTGTTGTATTTATTAGAGAGAGGGCATGGTGTAATCTGCGAATCCTCTCTGACTTATGAATGAGAACTTTCAGGAATATTACATATCTTTGTACAATAGACATTTATTAAACTTAATAGATATTTCTTGGATTTTAATTTTTTAGTAGATGTTTGATAAAATATAGAAGTAAATAAGGTGGTAGGATTTTTACAGTGATCACAAAAGGCAGAATTTCTAAGTATTTGCAGTGTGGCCATGCCCCTTTCTTTTCTGCTTGTGTCTTGCCTTTGCAGGTTAATAGGAAAGGCCACTGCCAGCTTGCCATCTAAGTTCAAACTTTTCCCAGGACTTTGGATGAGCCTCCATTCAATATTATCGTACTTCACATACATTAAAGTATTTTGTTGGTTTAGTATCTTGTTTACTTTTCATCATCATATGGTAACTTGTCCTACTGTGACTTGTCTGATTGTTTCCTTATGATTAGATTCAGTTTAAAATATTTTTGGGTAAAAACACTGTTTAGGTGATACTAAGTTAGCCTTGGTACATCAAGTGATAGAAGTGGTCAGCTTGTCCCATCATTGATCATATTGTTTGATTTCTTAGCTACGATCGGACTCTGAAAAAGCATTAGGATAAATTCTAAAATCCCTTGTCTCTTGCCCACTTCTCCAGTCTCATCCTGTGCTTTTCCTCCTTTTCTGTATGTTTAACTACACTATCAGTCTTGACCCACATCCTAGTTAAGCTCCCTGTTAATAGCTTCTCATAGTACTTCTACTTCTCAGAGTGTTTATAAAGGCTTATTGTATAATTGGCTATTAAAGGTCTGTCTTTTTGGCCAAGAATTGAGCCAGTATTGATTATTGAATCATTGTATATAGTGCTTTTCCTTCAACACTCAAAAAGTTTTTGAATAAATGACTAGCAGTAGGTATTCCTTTCATTTTTTTTTGACAAATAAGATTGTTTATATTGAAAGTATGCAATGTGATGATTTGATAAATGTATGCATTGTGAAGTGATTACCACAGTGAAATAATTTAGCACATATGTCACCTCTTATTGTTACCATTTTGTGTATGTGGGATGAGAACATTTAGGACTTACTCTGGTAGCAAATTTCAAGTATATGATACAGTGCTATTAAATATAATTACCATGCTACACATTAGCTCACCAGAATGTATTTTTTTTAGAACTGAAAGCTTGCACCCTTTGACCAGCATTTCATTTCCTCCACTCCCTGGCCCCTGGCAACTACCATTCTATTTTGTTTCCGTGTGTTTGACCTTTTTAGGTTCCACATATACAGGAGATCATACAGGATTTATCTTTCAGTGTCTGGCTTATTTCACTTAGTATAATGCCCTCCAGCTGCATCTGTATTGTTGCAAATGGCAGGATTTTCCCCTTTTTAAAAGTTTTTAATTTTTTATTTTTGTTTAGAAGAAATAGGACATCTCAATGCGTTCCCTAGGCTGGTCTTGAACTCCTGGGCTCAAGTGATCCTCCTGCCTTGGCCTTCCAAAGTGCTGGGATTACAGATGTGAGCCACCACACCTGGCCCGAGCCACCATGCCTGGTCCCCTTTTTTATTGTTGAATAATATTCCATTGTGTCTGTATCATATTTTTTTTACCCATTTATTTGTTGATTTACATTAGGTTGTTTTCACCTCTTGGATGTTGTGAATAATGCTTCAGTGAACATGGAAGTGTAGCTATCTCTTAAGATACTGATTTTGTTTTTTTGGATGTATGCTCAGAAGTGGGATTGCTGGGTCATACACAGTAGATTATTTTAATTTTTTTGAGGAACCTCTATACTGCTTCATCTCATTTTGTAGCAGAGGAAACTGATTACTTAAAAAGTTTGTTGAAATGGAAAATAGGCCGGGTGTGATGACTCATGCCTGTAATCCCAGCACTTTGGGAGGCTGAGGTCTTGAGCTCCTGACCTTAGGATCACCTAGGTCAGGAACTCAAGACCAGCCTGACCAACATGGAGAAACCCTGTCTCTACTAAAAATACAAAATTAGCTGGGTATGGTGGTGGGCACCTGTAATCCCAGCTATTTGGGAGGCCGAGGCAGGAGAATCACTTGAACCTGGGAGGCAGAGGTTGCAGTCAGCCAAGATCACACCATTGCACTCCAACCTGGGCAACGAGAGTGAAACTCTTTCTCAAAACAGAAACAAAATACAATATGTCTTTACAAAAGCTTGAATATGAATGTCTGCAACAGCCAAAAAGTCGGAATAACCTAAATGTTCATTAACTGATGAACAGAGAAACAAAATGTGGTAAATCCATACAATGAAATTTAATTTAGCCATGGAGAGAAATGATGTACTGATACATGCTCCAGCACGGATGGACCTTGTAAACATTATGCTTTGTGAAAGATGAAGACAGATGAAAAGCCATATGTTGTATGATTTCATTTTTACCAATTGTTCTGAGTATGTAAATCTAGAGAGACAAAAAGTAGATTATTGGTTGCTGGGACTGGAATGGGGGGAATATGGGCAGTGACTGCTAAGAGGCACAGAATTTCTTTGTGAAATGATGGAATGTTCTGGAATTGTGTTGGTTGCACAACAAACATGATGAATATGCTAAAATCCTTAATTGCATATTTCAAAATGGTTAGTTTTAAGTTATGTGAATTTATCTCAATTAAAAAAACTGTAAGAAGTAGAGTTAAATAATTTGCCCAAGGTGACACTTGGTCAAACCCAAGTTGCGGATCCTTTCTGGAAGCCAAGGCCCACTCCTAGCACATGCTGCCACCCATGGAAGCCTGTAGTTGCTGTCAATCAACACTAGATGGCAGTATTGTTGAATAGAAATATGTTCAATGGAAGATTGTGGCTCTGACCTGCAATGCTTTTTGTCCTGATTAAGGACTGTTAAAATTGGAGTTTAATTTTTTAAAAAAGAGAGACATCTGGACCTTATGACTCTTCTGACTGAAATATGTAATGCTACCTATGAAATATTTTTGCCCCAAAATCAAACTAGGAGCAGATCAAACCATTAGAACTGACTACTATTTTATAGGAATTTACAGGGGACAGAGGAACGTGTTAAACAACACCATGGGAGTACAGTCAGCGAAGTCCAGACTGTGAAAGTCTGGATAGCCTGGGTGTGGTGGCTCATGCCTGTAATCCCAGCACTTTGGAAGCCTGAGGCAGGCAGATCACCTGAGGTCAGGAGTTGGGAGACCAGCCTGGACTACATGGTGAAATCCCATCTCTACTAAAAATAAAAAATATTAGCTGGGCGTGGTATCTAACACCTGTAATCCCAGCCACTTGGGAAACAGAGGCAAGAGAATCGCTTGAATCCAGGAGTTGGAGGCTGCGGTGAACTGAGACTGTGCCACTGTTCTCCAGCCTGGGCAGCAGAGTGAGACTCCACCTCGGAGCTGGGGTGGTGGTAGGGGGGGAGAAAGTCTAGGATAAATGATCCGGTTTTTATTTTTTTCAATAAATTGTAAAGAAAAACACCAGGGGAGGGGAAACTTTGTTACTGAAGAAGTTTATCAATCAAATACAATGTATAGACTTATTTCAGTCTTGATTCCAACGAATCACTGTTAATACATAGTTTTGAGCTAATTGGGGGAAATTTTTGGAAACTAATGATATTAAGGGAGTTTTATTTTTTAAGATATGATGGCGCCATTGTAGTTATGCTTTTTAAAGGAGTCCTTTTATGAGATATGTACTGAAGTATTTGCAGTTGAAATAAGAAATCCGGAGTGTGCTTAAAAATTAGTTAAACAGTCCTTTCAGCCAGGCGCGGTGGCTCAAGCCTGTAATCCCAGCACTTTGGGAGGCTGAGGCGGGTGGATCACAAGGTCGAGAGATCGAGACCATCTTGGTCAACATGGTGAAACCCCATCTCTACTAAAAATACAAAAAATTAGCTGGGCATGGTGGCGCGTGCCTGTAATCCCAGCTACTCAGGAGGCTGAGGCAGGAGAATTGCCTGAACCCAGGAGGCGGAGGTTGCGGTGAGCAGAGATCGCGCCATTGCACTCCAGCCTGGGTAACAAGAGCGAAACTCCGTCTCAAAAAACAAACAAACAAACAAACAAACAAAAAAACAGTCCTTTCAAAGGTGTTAAACAACTAGAATAGCCTGTATTTGGGAAACTAAACATATACATTAATTCATGCAACAGACATCCTTTGAACTCTTGCTTGAGGAACTAGAGAATATTTTCAGAGCAATAGTGAACTATTAACAGGTGACATGGTATAAATGACTGACCTAAGTGATAAGGGGGGCCATAGTGAAGAGAGTGAATTATGGTTAGAGATTTAGTTACTGTTATTATTGTTTTTTGGTAAGTAAACTTTTTCTTTTTGAGACGGAGTCTGGCTTTGTTGCCCGGGCTGGAGTGCAGTTAGTGTGACCTTGGCTCACTGCAGTCTCCACCTCATAGGTACAAGCCATCCTCTTACCTCAGCCTCCCAAGAGGTTGGGACTACAGGCACGCTCCAGATAATTTTTGTATTTTTAGTTAAGATGGAGTTTCGCCATGTTGCCCAGGCTAGTCTTGAACTCCTGAGCTCAAGTGGTCCACCTGCCTTAGTCTCCCAAAGTGCTGGGATTACAGGTGTGAGCCACTGTACCTGGCCAAAGTGAACTTTTATATGTAATGTAACATATGTAAAGAACAGTGCACAAAGTTACAGTGCAAAAAACGTAAAAAATCTGTATAAAGGTTTTGCATTATATACCTAGAATTTGTGTACTGTGAATACCGTTGTGAAGCTAGCACTCAGTTGAATTTTGAACAACATATTGCTTGAAGTAATGGATGGGGAAAAGAGATGAAGATCATAAACAGACAAGTAATTAGAAATGCAAGAGCAACATATTCTTTTAAAATTCCAGGCTGAACATCATCTTGGGGATGTGATACTTGAAAAAGCATTTGTTTGTATTCTGTTGAAATATTAGCACAATTTAATAAGCAGACCTTGGAATGTTTATATTGTGTATATTTGTATTTTAAATTTAAAATTCAGCTCATAAATAGTTTTTGTTGTTGTTATTCTATTCCAGCTTTTATTAGTTTTCAGGAATTATATCCTTGATTTTCACAAGGTCATTTTCAAAATGGAACTCAGTCTTTTAGGAGGCTCAGAGTCCTTTGATGTTTTAAGAGCTGTCAGGAAAAGTTTGTTAACAATTGATTATCTTTAACAGAAGGACTGCAATCCATGCTGTGATTAGTGGATTTGCTAATAGCTATTACTGGAAGATAATCTGTAAAGTAGTCGTATTATCCCATTTTCCTGATGAGAAAATAGGCATAGGAGAAACTAAGTAACTTGTCCATGGTCACACAGTTGTTTTGTGTCGGAACTATGATTCAGAGCAAAGCTTGATGGCTTTAGAATATTTAATTAAGAGAGTTATTGTGAAGATTCTTAGTTAATATATATAAGCCATTTAAAGCAGTACTTGACTCCTTGTGTATAATAATTGTTAGGTATTGTTAATGTTATTATTGCTGTTATCATTATTTCAGGGAGAACTTCTGGTAGTGCACAGAAATCTCTTTCCCTCTAAAGGAAAAAGTCCCACTTAAATCTTTTGATTGATAGATTACAATGAGGCTATGTATTTTAAAACATTATTCTGGGGCCGGGCGCGGTGGCTCAAGCCTGTAATCCTAGCACTTTGGGAGGCCGAGGCGGGTGGATCACGAGGTCGAGAGATCGAGACCATTCTGGTCAACATGGTGAAACCCCGTCTCTACTAAAGATACAAAAAAATTAGCTGGACATGGTGGCACGTGCCTGTAGTCCCAGCTACTCAGGAGGCTGAGGCAGGAGAATTGCTTGAACCCAGGAGGCGGAGGTTGCGGTGAGCCGAGATCGCGCCATTGCACTCCAGCCTGGGTAACAAGAGCAAAACTCCGTCTCAAAAAAAAAAAAAAAAAAAAAAAAACATTATTCTGGGGGCTTTTTGAGATAGCAATTCTATCTCACTATTACTGTTTTGAGATAGCAAACCCCCAAATTCTCATGAAAACAATTTCATGTGTGTTTGAGTAGCTAAGGTTTGTTTTCTATTGAGAATGTAAGATAAACGAATTTTAACTCCCCCAATTTCTGTTGTAACAGAATTTAAACAGAATGGTGGGAAGCCCTATTTGTCTGTGATTACGGGGAGAGGAAACCACAGCCAGGGAGGAGTTGCTCGCATCAAACCAGCTGTCATTAAACACCTCATAAGCCATAGCTTCAGGTGAGTGTAGATTTCTGTTATTGATAATGACAACTGCCCATATAGATCTGTATCAGGGATTTCTGTGAGTATAGATTTCTGTTATTGATAATGGCAATAGTCCTAATATAGCTAGGTAAATAAACACTAAAAGTGTGCTCAGAACGATCTGTTAAAAGAGTTAACTAAATTTAATCATCTGATTTTAGCCACAGGTTGATAAATTATGATATAATTTTCTCTGCTGGATTTTATGTTGTCTGGTAAACCAGAAATGAGGAAAAATGTGTTTGTTGCCAATAATCTGTTAAAATTTCTATCATAAATTTAAGTTTTTAAAAGAAAGTAAATATATTTGTTTTTTTGATAATGTATTATGCAAAATAGATAACATATATCATATTTTAAGATTTGCTCTTATTCTTTTGAAAGAAAATAAATATTTGTGGATTTTGGATGGAATTGGGGGCTTCTGTTGAAATATAGTTATAATATGGTTATGTTTAAACTTTAGCAAAAATGTTCCAGTTAATATGAATTTGTGTTTTCATAAGTTAAATGCTATGACCTGTGTTGACAAACATGAAATGTTCTTTTTCATTAAGTGATAATTATATAGTAAGAGAAAAATGACAAAAAAGTCAAAGATGAAAAATCTGTTGATGGATAGATTTCCCGCAAATGTGTATCATTAGCTCCTACCTACCAATTTCAGTGTAGCATTTTTATTTTATGCCACATAAGTTATTATTTTGCTACATTATCAAAAATGGTAGCATAATTATGAGCATAAAACAGGTGACATATCAAGATTATTTTTATAAAAGAAGTAGTTAGACTGGAAGATTGTCATGCTGAGATTAATTATTTTAGAAACTAGTCTTTCTTTAAATTCTCTACAGATGGAGTTGAAAGCATCACATGGCCAGATTAGTCAGACTTACCGATTAATATTGTAAGTTTATACTTTCTACCAGAGATTTCTTCTTGGTGATTTCATGATTCATCAAGGACTTTATTCTTCCTACGGCATACTATTTTTCATGAAAATAAAGTTGAGGCTTCACAGGTTTTGACAAATCTTAAGTTATACTAACTGCTAAGTCAGGAGAGCAACCCCCAGTTTTAAAATTATGTTTGTTTTGACCGTAGATAAAATGAACATAAATGTAGATGTTCGTCTTGGATATTGACTTAATAAGGGTTAATACTTTGGTAGTAAATATTATGTTAAGCATAGGTACTTGGAATTGATTACAAGGTATATTCCCTAGCTAATTTGAAATTTTTATCTTTAAAATAACTCTTTTCTCATTTCTGCAGGTTCTCTGAAATTAAACCAGGGTGCTTGAAAGTCATGCTAAAGTAAAATAAACGTCCTTGAATTAGAAGTATGAAGGTTTGTAGGTTAAAATTACTTTTATTTGCAGTAATTCAGTCAATTCTACCCTAAACATGTGTTTTATTATAAATAATATTCAGGTATGAAGCAAAAAAAATTAACGATGTTTTTCAAAATCCAAGAGAGGTTTTTTTTTTAATTAAATGAATCAAATGCAAATATATTGCCTGTTATAACTAATACAGAGAAATTTTATTGATTACAAAATGTCTAAGAAAATTATCAGCTACAGTTTTAAAGTTTAAAGTGCTCTGATTGTTTCTCAGAAAAGGTTATCTTTGTATTAATTGTTGTGTGACATTTAGTAATGTCCTAAAAGTCTTTTGTGAGAAGTATTTAAAGTGCTTTGAGACCTGATTCATGCCCTCAAAGACTGGTATTAAAAGAAGAAAAAGGACGTAGTAGTGGGCAGTAAAGAAAAAAAGGAGATTTAACAAAAACACTTGAATATTTTTTAATTTCAAAACTAAACACATAAAATGATTTTATTTTGCCATATCGTACAGGAAGGAAGACATGTTATTGCGCTTTCTTCTGCTTTGTATATGATCTTGATCTTTTACCTTTTGTTCTGTTCTTTTGTGTGCATTTTATGGGAAGAAAGTTGGGTCTGAGATTATATTGCAATTTTATACTTTATATAGACAGAAAAGTTTTCAGAGAAAAAGAAATGGTTAAATATCTTCCAGATGTTGCTGCCTTATCAAAATGCTTCTTAGAACTGTCTATATAAGTGGTATTTCAGACAGTACTAAATAATTATATTTTGTTTTTGAGGCATGTAATTTTTAAACTGCAGTAGGTTAAAATTATATTAACTTAAAAAATGTAGAAAATATTTTGGTTATAATTGTCCAGGTGCAGTGGCTCATGCCTGTAATCCCATCACTTTCGGAAGCCAGGGTGGGTGGATCACCTGAGGTCAGGAGTTCAGGACCAGCCTGGCCAATGGGGTGAAACCCCATCTCTACTAAAAATACAAAAATTAGTAGGGCGTGGTGACGTGCACATGTAATCCCAGCTATTTGGGAGGCTGTCAGGAGAATTGCTTGAACCCGGGAGGCAGAGGTTGCAGTGCGCCAAGATTGAGATTGCACCATTGCGCTCCAGCCTGGGTGACAGAGCAAGACTCGGTCTCCAAAAGAAAAAAAGAAAAGAAAAAATCTTAAAAGGAATCCTTACAATTTAAAATATTTTCACTTTTATTTCAAAAAAGAGCCAGCTTTCTCAAAGGAAGTTTTCATTAACTTGTGTTGATGGTTCGCTAATAAATTGTTAGTATGCAAGTCAAACCTGTGTAAAGGAGGTTATAATGTGTTTAAGTAAAATTTTCCAATATGAGACAATGGCTTAAATTTGTCTTTGGAAATGGAGAAAATTTTCAACATATTTAATTTTAACAAACAGTTGTGTTGCTTTTTGTTAAGCTTAAAAATTTTGGATCAGGAATTATAGGATTGAGCTTGTACCAAAAGAATCCTGAAGTACCAGAATGGTTTTCCAAAAAGAGCAAACATTTCAATGAATATCACACCCCAGAACAGTTTTTTATATATCGTGATTGCATGCTTTTAAAATACGGAGCCTTATCACTGAATTTTAGTTCCATAAAAATAAAAATACATGTTTATTATTTAGAAATGGTCCGTGACTGGTATTGAAGTATTATTCACACTTATGTTTATAATAATTTGTTTAATACCAACAGTTTAGCACACTTTTATAATATCTAGAACAATTCTATAGGTTAAAAATAAAGCAGTCCTTTTGACAACTTACTGTAAACTATAAATGTTAATGAAATGAGATATTTCTATGTATAAATTAAGAGTATGAAAAACAGTGCTAAAATGTGGAGTTACTGGAATGTGTGCAACTGCATACTCACTTGCTGTGTTTTTGTATTTCCTTACCTGGTTTTAAAACTTAACTTTTGGGCACTTCAGCTAGACTTATTTCAATATTATAATTATGATTAATGAAGGAGCCTTCAGAAGTAGAGGTGTGGTATTCTTTGGGCAGAAACCAAATGAAAAAAGCTATGTTGTTTACTATATCAATGTTAATATGCCTTATTTTGGTAAATCTTATATCTTAATCATTGTTGATAAATATACAGGCAAAGTTTGAACATCATATGTATTTTTATGAAGCTGCTTAATTCTAACTTGCCTTCCACCCCACTATCTAGCATAGTTTAAACAACACGTAATTATGAAATAAAAGCTTATAATCCCTCCTTTCTTTTTTTTTGGCCGTTTCTAAATCCTGTATGCTCGAGGTAAAGATAGTTTGGAGATTATAAAAGTTTTCTCTGTTACCCATTTCTAAATCCTGTATGTCAAAGATAGTTTTGATATTATAAAAATTTTTATGTATTGGTGTAGGTTGAGTATCCCAAATGAGAAAATTCAAAATCTGAAATGCTTCAAAATCTGAAACTTTTGAGCACAGACATGATGCTCAAGGGAAATACTCTTGGAGCATTTTGGATTTTACATTTGTAGGTTAGCGATGCTCAATAAGTAAATATGATGCACATATTCTGAAGTCTCCCCACAAACCCCAGCAATCCAAACACTTCTGCTCCTAAGCATTTTAAGTAGGAGATACTCACTCAGCCTGTATATTTGTGCCAATACATGACTCATTAGAATGGTTCTTTGTAAACTTAGTATTTTAAAAGTGCAGCACTTCTGTAGTTTGGAAGATTTCAGTAATAATTATATTCATTCAGTAGTCTCTTACCATTATCTGCCAGATGGAAAAAGAGAACTAATGTGGAAACTCCAGAGGGTGTCCAGTTGGACCAGGGAGGCACTTGACGCTTAACAGTGTTTTCAGTCTGTGCATCTCTTACTCCAATGTCAGAAATAGAAGTCTTTTTTTTTCTTTCATATTTTGGCTCTTCATATTTCTCTACATTATTTTTAAGTTGCAGTTTCTTCAGTTTGTTAGTATTTCCATACTATTTGCAATTCTATGGATTCTATATATCTATAAGATATATAGTAGAAAATTTGACTTTAAAGCATCTTGAGTATTATATTTTGAGAAGAAAAGCTATACTGCTCTTCTGGATGGTTTCCATCCTTTATTTTGGTCTTTTTCTTTTTGAATTCAAGGGTTTCGTATGCTTAGAAAGTGGACATGTATAATAGTGAGATTGATTATTTCTGAACTGGAATTTGGAAACTTTTTGAAACTCAGGAAATTGCTCTGACAATGTTTTAACTGCTCTCAATTTAAGAAAATGACTACATGTATAAAAAAGACAAAAATAACATGTGCTGTTTTTTCCAAGTGCTTTTTCTAAATGCTTTTCCATTGTGCAATGAGGTGAAGTTTGGTAATTTTTCGGTGTAGTAGTTAAATATTGCTTTATTTTTATTTACATGTAAAGAAAACAGATTTAAATGTTTATGTGGCAAAACAAGTGGCATCTAAAAGGTAAAGTAAGTTTATGTAGAATATATGTTAATGGTGCTTATTTTTAAAATGTAATTCAAGTTTACAGTATTGCTTAATGCTTCTTTCCAGAATTTAATAGAGAAACAAGGCTAGAACACATCTACACTCTGAAGAGCCTTTTATAACTTCTATTATATGATGACAAAGTTCATTATTTTCCTTAAAGTTGAGCAGTTGACTTTTATGGTCCAATGGTGAACTTAATAAATGAATTAACTGTGAGACTTCACATTAAAATACAATATTGTAGCTATCAGTTAGAGAATATATTATAAAATTTTCAGGCAGTATATCAGAAAAAAATGTTTTATTTGTACTGTAAAGAAAATGTGATTTTGCTGTTAACTCTGTACTTTTTAAATTGAAAATGTTTTATAACTTTGCTTTTAAAATTTCTTATGAAGCCATTTGCAAATTACATGCTTAATTTAATAAAGTACTTTAGCCACAGTCCAGTGTGAGGAAATCCTTCATTTGATGTATTAGGGTTAGTGGTTTAAATATTTTTATGTGTAATTTTGTAATTTCAGGGTAAAGTGCCATAAAAATTTTATTTCTGTACCACAACTTTTCTTCTAGTTTATTTTCTGTAGCACTTTTGAACCTGATAAATGGATTAGCTATAGTTTGTCTCTTCACACCCTGTATCTTTTGACTGACATCAAAATTAAGAATTAGATCTCTTAGAGGCCAGGTGTGGTAGCTCATGCTTGTAATCCCAGCACTTTGGAAGGCTGAGACAGGCAGGTTGCTTGAGGTCAGGAGTTTAAGACCAGCCTGGCCAACATGGTGAAACTCTATCTCTATGAAAAAAAAAAAAAAAAAAAATTAGCCAGGCATGGTGGCTCGCACCTGTTATCCCAGCTTTTTGGGAGGCTGAGGCACAAGAATTGCTTGAGCCTGGGAGGTGGAGGTTACAATGAGCCGAGATTGTGCCACTGAGCTCCAGCCTGGGCAACAGAGCAAAACTCCTTCTCAAGAAAGAAAAACAAAACAAAACAAAAGGCTGAGGGCAGTGGCTCACGCCTGTAATCCCAGCACTTTGGGAGGCTGAGGTGGGTGGATCACCTGAGGGCAGGAGTTTAAGACCAGCCTGACTAACATGGAGAAACCCGTCTCTAATGAAAATACAGAATTAGCTGGGTGTGATGGTGCATGCTGTAATCCGAGCTACTCAGGAGGCAGAGGTTGCGGTGAGCCGAGACTGCGCCATTGCACTCCAGCCTGCGCAACAGGAGCAAAACTCCATCTCAAAAAAAAATCTCTTGAGAGACTCAAGTAATGCTTTAAATAATATTAATGACCTTTGGACTTTATATTTGAGTCCAAAGCAGAATAATTCACTCATTTCGCAAGGACTTAAACATATTTATCCAACAAACATTTAGAGCACTTGTTGTTGGGGTTACAGTGTAAATGTGATAGAGCTTTTATCCAGGGTTATCATTATTCTTATCCACTGCTATGTGTATAGTGACTTATACTATGATACATTTGTATATGTTATATTTTAAATCTCAAAGAGAATTTTATTACATAGGTAGTGCTATCCCAATTTAATGAATAAAGCCACATAGAGAAGTTAACTGGTTTGCTGTTTAGTGTCAAAGGTATAACTTGAACCTAGGTTCTCTGATTCCCAATGTAGAGCAGCTGCATTTGTGCCAAAAAAGAATAGTTACTTATAAAGAGATAATATTCTGTCCTCCCCAGAGAATTGTGGCTCAACAGTATATATTTTTTGAAAACCTGACATCTATGAATCTGCTTTCTTCCTTTATACGAAAGCTGGTACTTCGGAAAAATCCAAATTACTAGTGGCTAAAGGTAAAAAGTTTATTTTTTTCTTCCTATAAAATCCCAGAGATAAAAATTCCAGGACTGTTGAGAAACTTGTTTTTCATGAAGCTTTTGGGATTCTAGGAAAGTTCACCATGCTGCCATACCCAAGATCATTTTCCTAGGCCAGGATGGGTGGCTACATCTCTAACTCTCAAATCTATATTCTACTGGAGAAAAGACAAAGAAAGGGAGCAAAAGGCAAATGCCAGTGGTCTTAAAGATGGTATTGGAGGTTGCCGTAGGATACTTCTACTTACAGCCTATTGGCCAGAAGGTAGTCATGTCACACCTAGCTGCAAGGGAGGCTGGGAAATTGTCTTTTTCAGACTGCCATTTTCTGCTGAAATTTGGAATTCTTTTGGAGGAAAGAGAATGGATATTAGAAGAATGAATAACTGTCTCTGCCACATGTTTTTTATTATATGCAAATAATGTGAAAATCAGTTCTTGATACGATACATTCCTTCAACAGATTTTTTTTTTTTTTTTTTTTGAGACGGAGTTTCGCTCTTGTCACCCAGGCTGGAGTGCAATGGCGCGATCTTGGCTCACCACAACCTCCGCCTCCTGGGTTCAGGCAATTCTTCTGCCTCAGCCTCCTGAGTAGCTGGGATTACAGGCACGCGCCACCACGCCCAGCTAATTTTTTGTATTTTTAGTAGAGACGGGGTTTCACCATGTTGACCAGGATGGTCTCGATCTCTTGACCTCGTGATCCACCCGCCTCGGCCTCCCAAAGTGCTGGGATTACAGGCTTGAGCCACCGCGCCCGGCCTCCTTCAACAGATTTTTGTTGATGACTTCTGAGTGTTAGGAATCAAGGAAAGAAA